ACTTGGGCTGGCTCCAAACCAAACTGCACCCTTCGTTTTGACACCTTTCAGCTCACCAAGGATGGAAGGAAGGAAAAGGAGGAACGCTCTCCGTGCACCATCACGCCGCCTCACCCTGCATGACCGGACAGGACTTCAACTACCAACTCTTCCTGCATCCCTTCCATGTTTCCTCCCTCCTCCTCTCTCCGTTGTCTGCCTGACTAACAGTGGATGGAGGACCCTCACCTATGTAAGGCTTTGTTGTCAAAATGTCTATATTCGTAACTAAAGATGAAAGCAAAACTTTCCAAACCATTCTTTTATTTTTGTTTTACTCGACATAAAGGCTAGTATGTGTGATAACTTTTTTTGCAAAGAAACAACAAAATGGCTCAGCGATCCTATGATAGAAGACAAATATTACGTTTTTTTTTTTTTTTATTTGGCTCGCTGTACTTTGTAAATTCAGTATAGACAAGTTTTTATAGGGTTCGTGTTTGATGTTCTCTCTCTTTCTCTCTCTCTCATATTCTCACTTCTTTGTAAATGTCTGATTTTCGATTAAACTAGATGGTGTTGTAATAAAAAATGTTTGCTGAGGTCCACTCATCTGAGTTTCTCTACATGTCGCGTTCATTAGTCAAATGTATATTTGCACTCTTTATTTTTTTTATTTTTATAAGTCTTAAGTTCACCAATGAAGCTATGCTATTCCCTGACATTTTGTTTTTCTTCAAATGGATGGAGTTTTTCCAAGGTAAGCTTATCTGGAATGTGTTTCTTAATGTGAATTGATGGGTCACTGTGAACCTAAATGGACGGTGAGGTCTTAGGATCATTTTTTGGAAACCATACGATGAATCGTAAGCCTGCCACCGCTGCTGCATTGTTTCACTTTCATGTGCAACTATAGCTGTTTCTAAATGATGATGGGAGGGGGGACAAAATGTGGCATATTTCACTGGGTAATACTGTTACATCATTTGACCTATTTGCTCTTAATCTGGTTGCTGTTAGATCTATGTCAAGCAGAATAATTTCCATCCACTCATTGGGAGAATTGTCATTGATTTGGGGCTTTTTAGGATTGCATTTAAAAACTTCTATTTTTCAGTTTGGACCTTTTTTTTAATGAGTTTGAATTAATTGGATTTTCTCCTGTAACAGTCCCTGATTAACAGCTTGTAAACTACATTTAAAAGGTAATTGAACAGTTACATTTGCTAATTTTAGTGATTTGGAGACCATGAAGTACACCCAGTTTTCTTCCAGAAAACAATCACACCATGTAAGGATGTTAAATTTCATTACAAAGGCCTCAAATTATTGGCAACCCTTGACGAGTGTTTTGTAAAGTTGTGATCAGAACAGGAAATTAAATCAGGATGTTTAAAAAGGTAAAATTCCAATTGGTGGTTTTGCTCTTTGAAGCAGCCTCTCTCACATCACCCATCCTGTTAATGTGTTGCATTTGTGTCTGTGATTGTCAGTTATCTGTGACAAAGCTTTATTCTGCGTTAAAGAAAATGTTTGTTTTTTTAAAGTTCATATTTTTACTGAGACCAAAATTTGAAATAAGTTGTAAGTTTACACCAGCCTTTGGATTTAACAGAATAAAATGTGAAAAAAAAGCTGCTAGCCCATGTTTAAAGCTGCTCCAACAGTGTCTTTCAAAAAAATAGTTTTTAACTTTGACTTTAATCACGTTTGCATAAAAACAAAACGAAAAAAAATGTTCTAGATATTTACAAGAAACTTTTTTTGTCTAGTTATGTTAACCTGACCATGTTTGCTTCTATAATCCCTCTTTAAATTTGATTTTTACATCAACCAGTTTATAAATTTTAGGTGAAAATTTATCTTTCACTAAAACACTGATCGTGGAATTTGAAAGCAGGTTTGTGCGATTATGTCGGTATCCTGAATCAAATGGTGTTATGTATTCATGTATGTCCATCCATATTCTACCATGAATGTTGATGCGTTTTAAGGAACTGGTTTAAATAGTTTAAACATAAGAAGCGAAGTTGAGGTTGACATCATTGAAGAAAATGCTGATTATATGAAAACTGACTTTTGTTTTAGCTTTTTCTTTTTTGAAAGGTTTTTGGTTTTCATTTTGTTTGTTTTTTTTTGCTCAGTGATTAAAATAGGATGATTCGTGATTTTTATGTACATAAACATGTTATCAAAGCAACAGAATGACCACCTCGGGGTTTTGGTTAAATATCCGGTCAGCTTTTTTCCTGTTTTCCACAGCACTAAGGTAAGTGTTGTCACCTCTGTCTGCCCAGGCGGTGAAATAAAGTGAATTTTTGCCCTATCAAGCAAGATACTATCCCCCACGAGCAGGAAGAGTAACTTTTTAAGGAATGGTTTGTAATTTCACTTTAACTTATTGTATATGTGCAATAGTTTCAACTCTGATCATTTTCTCCTACATGGGACTAAATTATGAAATAAGGGGAAAGTGCAGAAACTAGTCATGTAATTAAAGCTCTTTATAATCGAACAATTTGATTTAGGAGCTATTAAACTTGGATCACTTGTGGTCTAGGATTGAATAGGGTTTTTGTAATGGGTTGTTATATTTGCCTTAGAAGCAGTGTGGTGATGAATTCACATTGCTGGTTTTACTAATAAAACATTTTGACATTCAGTTTGTCTTTTTGTTCCTTATTTTGTCATATTTGTAACTTAGATGTAAAACATGACTAGACTAAACTGATATTAGGACAATAAAAATTTAATTAAATAATGGGTACATTTACAGTTAATACCTATTAAATTGTTCCTAAATGAATATATATAACTTGTTTGTATAATGGTCACTAGAATATCAGTGGCAGTGTTTTAAGGGAGTTTCAGTGCAGAGATACACTATATTGCCAAAAGTATTTGCTCACCCATCCAAATTATTGGAATCAGGTGTTCCAATCACTTCCATGGCCACAGGTGTATAAATTCAAGCACCTAGGCATGCAGACTGTTTTTACAAACATTTGTGAAAGAATGGGTCGCTCTCAGGAGCTCAGTGAATTCCAGCGTGGAACTGTGATAGGATGCCACCTGTGCAACAAATCCAGTCGTGAAATTTCCTCGCTCCTAAATATTCCACAGTCAACTGTCAGCTGTATTATAAGAAAATGGAAGTGTTTGGGAACGACAGCAACTCAGCCACGAAGTGGTAGGCCACGTAAACTGACGGAGCGGGGTCAGCGGATGCTGACGCGCATAGTGCGAAGAGGTCGCCAACTTTCTGCAGAGTCAATCACTACAGACCTCCAAACTTCATGTAGCCCAAGAACAGTGCGCAGAGAGCTTCATGGAATGGGTTTCCATGGGCGAGCAGCTGCATCCAAGCCATACATCACCAAGTGCAATGCAAAGCGTCGGATGCGGTGGTGTAAAGCACGCCGCCACTGGACTCTAGAGCAGTGGAGACGCGTTCTCTGGAGTGACGAATCGCGCTTCTCCATCTGGCAATCTGATGGACGGGTCTGGGTTTGGCGGTTGCCAGGAGAACGGTACTTGTCTGACTGCATTGTGCCAAGTGTAAAGTTTGGTGGAGGGGGGATTATGGTGTGGGGTTGTTTTTCAGGAGCTGGGCTTGGCCCCTTAGTTCCAGTGAAAGGAACTCTGAATGCTTCAGCATACCAAGACATTTTGGACAATTCCATGCTCCCAACTTTGTGGGAACAGTTTGGAGCTGGCCCCTTCCTCTTCCAACATGACTGTGCACCAGTGCACAAAGCAAGGTCCATAAAGACATGGATGACAGAGTCTGGTGTGGATGAACTTGACTGGCCTGCACAGAGTCCTGACCTCAACCCGATAGAACACCTTTGGGATGAATTAGAGCGGAGACTGAGAGCCAGGCCTTCTCGTCCAACATCAGTGTGCGACCTCACAAATGCGCTTCTGGAAGAATGGTCAAAAATTCCCATAAACACACTCCTAAACCTTGTGGACAGCCTTCCCAGAAGAGTTGAAGCTGTTCTAGCTGCAAAGGGTGGACCGACGTCATATTGAACCCTATGGATTAGGAACGGGATGTCACTTAAGCTCATATGTGAGTCAAGGCAGGTGAGCAAATACTTTTGGCAATATAGTGTATGTGTGCAACCAAAGTCCCACGTTCAATTTTAGGAAATAAAGTGAAATAAAGAGTCAATTTATAAGGATCAGCAAAGACTTTCCTGGTTGTAACCAACGTTCCAGTTCCCAGCTCATAGATTACTAAACTGATGTTCCAACCGCAAGATGTAAAAAACCATCAGGCTGTATTGGGCTTTTTTAAATGAGACTTCAGAATATAAGTTTGACATTCATAAGTTTAAGTTGTAATTGCCCTTTTAATATTTTCACAAAAGGATTCCTTTGCAGTGCCAATTTCTAGAATTAAGCCATTGAAAATGACTAAATATTTAAATCTATCCTAAAGTGAAGTATTTGTGGTTTGGGGTAAAAATAAATATTCCTTTGATTTTTTTATTTTTTTTATTGGGATGTTTTGCTTGAAAACTGAGGTAGCGGGCTAAAATAAGCCCTGTATTTAAGAATGTATTGAACAGCAAATCTATAGAAAACTACAAATAAAAACTGATGTATTTATATCCAAAACTCAAGACATAATAGTCTTTAAAAGCTTATATAAATTTTTAGGTTTGGAACCAAAACCCTATATATATATACATTTATCTTTTTCAACATCTATAGTTTACAAAAAAATTTCAAGTGTAATTTCAAATGCCTCATCTTTTAATCCTTGATGGGAAACTTTCACTAGCCCTAGTCCCTAAAACAAGAAGTTGGTTTATTATATCTATCAGACCATAAAATATTTATAGCGGATACTGAAGCTCATCTAAATGAAGACTCAAGAAAAAACATGAACTGAAGATCAAACGTATATATTTGGCTGTTTAGCTTTGTATTCGTTGTTAGAATTCTTTAAAAAAAAAATGATGTGGAACCGTCGTTTTTAGCCTCTGTTCATACCGGAAAATACACACTTCCTCTTTCGTCATTTCCGTTATTGTGAATTGCTTCCTGTTGTGTTTAATGCCCGGTCTAAACGCATAAATGGCCCGCCAAAGAGGGTTAAAAACATAACGGAGCATAATAAAACGTAAAAAAGGTGTAATAAATTTATAGCAGAAACCTGTGGAATACTATGTTCAAAACGATGACTGAATTTGGTCCAGATTCCGGGGGGCGCGTTAAGGTAACGGAGTAAATTTACAATTCACTCGTTTCAGGTTTTCTGTTGCATAGAACATAAAGAATGACTGAGTGAAAATTTTTGGCATATTTCTCTTTTTCACTCCTGTGTTTCATGATCTATACCGTTAGCTTTTCTGATATCTTCCCTGCAGGGAGTGACCATAGTGAAGCCCATTGTGTTCGGAAATGTTGCCCGTTACTTTGGCAAAAAGAGAGAGGAAGATGGACACACACACCAGTGGTCTGTTTATGTCAAACCTTACAGAAACGAGGTGAGAAAAGTTTAGAAATGTCCCAAAAAATAAAAACATTTTTCGTGTTGCTGCCAGTATTTAATTCTGTTTCTCATAGGACATGTCTGCCTATGTAAAGAAGATTCAGTTCAAGTTACACGAGAGTTATGTTAATCCACTCAGAGGTAAGAAAGAGGCTGATATTAAAACGCATTTATGTTAAAGTGACACTGCCACAGCCTTCTATCAGACTGATTGTTCTAAACTGGTGTTTTAGAACAAGTATTAGAGATTGTTTAGAGATGCACAATCAGCATGGCTGCTTGTAAGGAGCAGAATCAAATATTCTTTAATTAAATTCTTAAAAAAATGTACAAAGATGTACAATGTTTGCTTTTCCAAAAGGCTTAGATTTTATATATTTACTTTGAAGTAACTGTAACGTTTATGGAGTTAAGTAATTCATAATGAACACTATTAACTGAAATGTTTTGTAATTTAAATAATATCCAGAGATTGGTAATGTTTTGTACATAGAATAGCTCATACTATACGATGTGTATCTGTCAGGATGTTTATATATATATAGATATAGATATATAGATAGATATATATATAGATATATATATGAAGTTGCATTGTTTTGTGTGGGTGTGTGTAGTTCTGTTTTTGGTTTCATTGTTATTGATGTAATATCTGTAAAAATGTTAAGACTGCAGGAAGAATAGCTACTGCTTTGCCTCTGAAGCTAATGGGGATCTAAATAAATAAACAATAAACAAACCCTACATGCACCAGGGAGCGTTAAGTTGTTACATTCATGCTGATTTTGCAGTTTCTTACTATGTCAGTTAAATAACATGATGCTGTCATTTTGCACATCTCTGATTTTGCTGCTATTACAGTATTTTATTGTTTATTTTTTAACTCTTCACTATTATGTTCACATTTTTCTAAGGTCCACATTTTTCCTATAATCTTTTTGCTGCTGTAAACAGCAGAATTTCCCCATTGCGGGACAATAAAGGGATTTTCTATTCTATTGTATTTTATATGCAGGTCATTATTAGTTTAGGTCTCATCCTTTTGTTTTTTGTATTTTATGATTTGCTTGTGTAAAACCTTAAGTGACAAATGTTAAATAAGTAAATATATTTTATAAGCCACTTTGACCCTGTTGAATTTATCATTTTTTATTCTTCTAGTGGTCACAAAGCCTCCATATGAGATTACAGAGACAGGATGGGGAGAGTTTGAAATCATCATCAAGATCTTTTTTATTGACCCCAATGAGAGACCAGTAAGTAAAATAATATTATTATTTATTATTATGAGTCATTGGTGTTTTTACTGTCTTCTGTGCTGGATTGAAGAATTCAGGAAACTTTTTTTCTGCCAAGTTACGTCTTGAGTTTTACATCACAATGTAATAAGGCAAGCATTGTGTTTATGACCTCTGGAATCAACAGATGAATCAATTACTTCATTGCTACTTGAAACTTTATCATTTAGTGCCAATTGTTTTTTGGGGTTTTTTTTGCCTTTAAAGCTGTAAACGTCCTGAAACTATTTTCAGTATTTTCAGGTCAGGATAGTTATCCAAAAATAAGTTTCCAAAATGTTTCCATATCCCATACATTGTCATCTAATGTCGATAATGTTCTCACTGTGTCCTTTGTCCTCAACTTAGTAAATTCTTCCTTTTTTGACCTTTCTTCTTCCTATATTTCATTCCATGTTTTCTTTCTAATACCCTTCTACTTCTAAACTCCATTTTTTTTCTCAAGCTTTAAGGTGTTAATTTTGATTCATTAAATTATATCGACTTTTTTAGGAGCTTCATGGAGCTTTAACTTCTGGTTACAGCAAATTTTGAAATATTAAAGGCAACACTGTTTTTTTTGTTGTTGTTCCTTCGCCTCTCTTCTTTACACCCAACACAGCACTATAGTAAACAAATGTTTTAGACATGCAACAGAAACTATCTTTAATTTGATCTATTTTATTTGCTACTTTCTTACGCATTTTCTTCCTACATACCACCTTTTTATTTTTACCTACTTTATGTTTCTGGAAAACATGTTGGAACCCACTCAAATATCCTCAATGTACAGAAAACTTTAGAAATATAGGCTTGAAAAGTGAGATTTGTTTTCTAGAAGAAAGGAGTTTTGAACAAATGCCTTTTATTTAATAAAGCTTCTCTAATTGTTTTTCTGATTTTATTATTTTTATATTTGTGTTTTTACTTCAGGTTACTCTGTACCATCTACTGAAGCTGTTCCAGTCAGATTCCAGCGCCATGCCCAAGAAAACCGTCGTCTCTGAGTTCTATGATGAAATGGTGCATCTTTATTATGATCTTGTCTTTTTCCATTGGTATCAGTGCTTTCATTATTTAGTTTGTTCTAGTTTATCATTTTCCGCTGTGTGAATTGCAGATTTTTCAAGATCCAACAGCAATGATGCAGCAGCTGCTGACCACATCCAGACAACTCACCCTCGGTGCCTATAAGCATGAAACAGAGTGTATGTATGCCGTTTGATCAGATACCTGAGCAAAGTGTATTCCAATACTTTATCCACTTTGCACTACAGTATTTACAGGGTTTGTATTTCTGAGGATGTTTGTTTGATTCCCTAGTTGGTGAACTGGAGCAGAAGACAAAGGAGAAACTAGAAGCAGCAAAGAAGAGAACGAGCCAAGAAATCACAGAGCTGAAAGATAAGCTGAAAGCCAGCAGGGAGAACATCAACCACCTGAAGGCAGAGATAAGGAAGCTGGAGGAGGATGGAGATCATAAAGAGCACTGAAAGGTGCTAAAGAAGAAAAAAACTGATTTTCTGTCATTGTCTCTCCTTTTTTTATCAGTTTCTTGAGTACAAAACAAGACTTGTGTTGTAAAGTTTATTTTTTTGTGTAATTCTTTATCTTCATAGCCTTGCATCTTTGGACAGGCTTAGGGGGTGGAAAAAAACTAGCCATTTCTCGAATTTAAAATTTTTACTTGATTGTAGTTTAATCAAAAGTTTCATGTTTTCATTTGTCTCTCTTTTTTTTCAAGGGGCAGCATGTGCTTATTTCTAGTTTGTTATTTTGACTGTTCATATTTTACTGATGTGACTTTTTTTAAAATAAACTATTTGTCTGAACACTGGTGGTTTTTTTCCCCTGTTTTCTTTGTGTGGGAAATTCTACTTTATAGAGGTGAACATTTTATATAAAAGTCTGCCACCTTTTATCCTAATTAGGCCGACCATCCAGAAACATCTATCTGTTTGAAATTTGAGGTTGTACATCCAATTAACACATTTATGGGACAAAAATATGTTGGAAAAAAGAATGGTTAGTAGAAATAATGAAATCTGAAGTCATACAGTTTATAGTTTCTGTACTTTCCCAGTTTGTGGTTGATGCTTTGTGGACATGAGCTTTCAATGTTAAATAGAAATATAATTTACTTAGATATTTTATACGGGCCAAAATTTAATTTATAACCTTCAAGGTATTTATACCTTTTTTTTGTGTGTGGATTTTTTGTTGACAAGATTGTTTTACTTCTAAAATCAGTTCGATATTTCTGGTTTTATTTGCAAACTATAGAAAAGTTGAAAATGCTTCTAGGTTATTGTAATTTCGGAAGCTAAATTATTTTTAAAGATTATTTGAGGGCTTAATGAATCGGAAAAACATGAAACTTTATGGGCTAATGTAAAGTCTTTGGATTTCCGATTGTCCGTGAATGCACCTGACAGGAAGTTTCTTCTCCGGCTGAAGCAGTTCAACACGAAACTTTGCGTGGACCCAATATTGCCCAATTTAAACAAAGTGTAAGAATGTTAGCACACTTTCTGTTAGAATGGAGATCCTCCCTTTTAAATACTTTCGTATATGTGAGCAGAGGTGTAAAATATGCCACGCGAGCGCGCCGCGGACTTTGGTGAACCTGGGATTAAATTACCTCCAGGTGTCCTTCATTAGATGGTGCACCTCAGGGTAAGTTTTATTTATGAGATAAAATGCATTATTTGAGGTGAACTTGACAGAGATCTTGCTTCTACTTCTGGTTGTCCTGGTTTTTTGGTCGTATTTGACATTTTGCCATGCTTATTTAGTAAACTGCTACCTGGTTGTAGGCTACCTGCAGTGACGTCACCTCGTCATGCTGAATGCTGAGGCTGATTTAAGATGTTTACATTTAGCTCATGAGAATGAACACCCAAAATCAATTTTCTGATTTCCTCGTCCATTTTTATTTTTTGGGATGTGATGTGTAATATGTTCTTGTGTGTGTGTGTATATATATTTTACTGAACTAATGTGTCTTTTGCTGTTGTTCAAATATTCCTTAAATGCACAAATAGGGGATTAATCATATAAAGTATGCAACTGCTAAGGAAACTGTTAAAAAGACCTAGATTGTCTGACTTTTAAAAAAATTATTTAATTTACTATGTAGCCTTCAGTTACGGAAGAGGATTGGAGCCACTGAAAAAAAACCCTGTAATCTCAGAATTCTGACTGTAATCTCAGAATTCTGACTGGAATTCTGACTGTAATCTCAGAATTCTGACTGGAATTCTGACTGTAATCTTAGAATTCTGACTGTTATCTAAGAATCCTGACTGTTATCTCAGAATTCTGACTGTAATCTCGGAATTCATACTTTTTTCTCAGAATTCTGACTAATTCTGACTGCAATCCCAGAATTCTGACTGTAATTCTGACTGTAATCTCAGAATCCTGACTGTAATCTCAGGATTCTGACTGTAATTCTGACTGTAATCTCAGAATTCTGACTTTTTTGCTCAGAATTCTAAATTTATTTTTCAGAATTCTGACAGCCAACAAACATGTTAGCATCCAGCCATTGCCATGTCTGTTTGAAAGACTAAACTAGCTCTCTTATTTTAATCACCTTCTGCTCTTCCATTAATGAAATAGCATCACCAGGGACCCCTCAGGCACGTAAAAAAATCACCTAATTCCGTCATTTTCCTCCAACGTGTTACTGGCCCTCTCACACAACTCACATCTTTGTCAGTGAAGCTCGGTGCTCCCACATCTCTTCCTTCATGGTGCCCATCTACAATTAGATCCAGAGTTTTGAGTTCTAAGATTAAAGTCAGAGTTCTCAGATTAAAGTCAGAATTCTGAGGAAAAAAAAGTCAGAATTCTGACTTTTTTCCCATATTAAACTGAAATAATATTTAAAAATCAGTTAACTTTTTTCTATTTTTTCCAGTGGCCCTAATCCTCTTCTGTATTCAGTAACTATAGTGAATTTAAAGTTTTTTTTTTCAGTTTTTAGTTTATAAAATACTGATTTATTTAGGTTAGTAGTGATGAACATTATTATTCTTTACCTCCTTAATTCCCTGAGTTGAGAGAGATCTTTTTTGTTTGTTATATTTATTCTAATTCAGCAATTTCCCCATATATCCTTGAAGTCATACAAGGAAGCAGTGTGGTTACAGAGTGTTTCTTTTAAATGCATCTGCAGTTATATTAATTCCTAGCGTTTAAACTATCAGAGGATTAGAAAGATGTGAAATCTCTTTTAGGCTTTTCTTAAATTGTTTAAATGTGTAGATTTGTCAATAAAACAACAACAGCAACAAAATATTCTACTATTTGGCATAGGTACATTTAGTCAATCTTAACCAGAGGTGGGTATAGATCTCAAAACTTTTACTAAAGTAAGAGTAGCACTACCTTAACACTTTTTTTTTTTTTTTTTTTTTTTACTGAAGAAGAAAATTGTCATAGAAGAAATTATTCAAGTTTGAGTAATAAAAATACTTGGTAAATGACATATGATTTAATGATCAACATTAGAGTGATAGTTATGTAGACATTCTTGGATTAAGTATAAAATAAAGCAATATATATAAATAAAATGATAGCGGGAGAAGCAAATATCCATATATATATATATATATATATATATATATATATTTATTATTTTTTTTTAATAAACTTATAAATGGATCAGGTAAAGATAGAGCAGTAAATTTATGATAATGGATTTTATGTCTTTTTTTAAGCAGTTTTAGATAAGGTAAGAAATGCCTGTATTGCACCACAGTGAGGTCGGATGTGACAGTGGCAAAAACAAGTAGAGAAAAAAAAGACATAAAAACTCGCACAGAATGTCATGTAAAGCTAAAACAAAACAGACATCTATGTGAGAAGGAAAAAAGAACATGTCTATGCTCTGTATTTGAATCTGCTTGCCTTTGCCAATGGGAGTTATATGTAGCCTAATTTTGTGGTAAGAAATACACCTCAAGGTTGACTGTCAATATAAAGATATTCATTTGCTGTTGATATTTTAAGCAAAGCTGGTTGCTTACATTAGTTTGATAAATTAAATATTTATTGGTATTTTAAAATTATTTAATTTAGCCAACTTTCTTAGCCAAATCTAAAACGATGCGAATGTAATATTGAACGTAATATCCTAATTTTATGTGTGTACACACGTATCTTTGTGTCTATATGTATGTATGTGTATATGTATGTGTGTATTTACATTAGTATATATGTATGAATGTGTATATGTATGTATATGTGTATGTATGTGTGTATATATATGTATGTATGTGTGTGTGTGTGTGTGTGTGTGTGTGTGTGTGTGTGTGTGTGTGTGTATATATATATATATATATATATATATATATATATATATATATATATATATAAGGACGTTGTTTTATCCAGTTTTTTTGGGGGGGTGTAGTCATCTTGGATGTTATTGGCGTCTGTGTCAATGAACCGCCGCGGTTATTGGTGAGGCTGAACGGTAGTCACGTGACCCAATCTTTGACGTCACAGGAACCGGACTGGTACCGGATCGTTATCTTTATCCAACCGCATTACTAAGTGAACCAAAACGTGTCGCTAAGAAGCGCCCTGCCTGCATATTTCAGTCTGCCGCACCTCTCTTGTTATCGCACAGCTGTCAGCGAACTGTCAGCTCTGAGTATGCCACCTTGATCTCGGTAACACGGTGTAAAGCTGACCCAGCAGACATGGCGGCCCGGTAGACGACCCGGTTAGCTTAATCTCGCTGAGCTCCTCTTTTATCCAGGTAGGTTATATGAATACATGTTTTTTTGTAGCCTGTAACGTCCACTGAAGAGATTGTGGCATTTTAATTGTATTTACAGCTTGTTTTGCTGCGGGTGTATTTGTAATGTAATTATTTAAAAGGTATTTTTTGTGAGACAAACCGTTTTAATGGATTTACCGGTCATTTGATGTTAGTTTGAGATGTGCGCGCGCCCCATGCAACAACTGAATGAGGAAACTGATAACGACGCTTTCCTGGCTGCATTTCTTCTGACTCTCTCTTTCTGCTTTAGTCTTTAGTCATGAGTGTTTTCACTTTGTTGTTTACTTCACTACGTCTGTCTAAATGTTCAGGTCAGCCACAGGGCACCATTGTTTTCCCACAGACTCTATACACTCCATTCATGAGGCTGAGTGCACCATCAGCAGGCTAGAAAGACATGGAGAGTCAAAGTGCATTTCCTGTGCTTCTGTTTATGTATTAGCATAGAGAGATTATATTTATTATGTGAACCAGCCTCTGTAATGTAACTTGGCGTTTTCTTTTAAGCTGTGAGGGTTTTGGAAATAACTGAGTGGTGTTTGGAAACCTAAAAACAGGATAGGGAGGGGCTGTCATTAGGCTTGCACAAGTACTTTAGGTGTGCACTTTTCCTGAGTTGTTGATTTCATCTGGTGTGGTCAAGAGCTGTTTGAGTAGCTTCCTATATTGTAGGATGCTCCTTGGGTTGTCCCAAAACTTCCTTTAGAACCCAGATTAGATTGAATAACATGTAGTGCATTTTACTTGGTTTTTATGTGATCTAGCAACAGAAAATTTTGCATAAACTTAAAACTCCTTGGGGAAAAAAAACATGTTTTAAAATATTTGTCCTCATGGGTAAATACTTAGAAGAAGAAATTAGAAATCAATTCTGCTGCAAGTACAGCCTCCAAGTCTTTTGTTTATGTCTTCAAGGTGTAAATAAAACTACATGTACAAGCTGATGCTTTTTTGGTAAAATAGTTCACTATTTTACCCCATTTACACTACCCTCAGTTCACCATGCCAAGCTTGGTTCCTTATGACCATTTACACGTCACGCTAGCACGGTTCCTCGCCTCATTGGCTACGTTCACACTGCAGCCTGACGTGACCCAGATCCGATTATTTTTTTTTTTTGGCCCATATGTGACCTGTTTCTGATCTTTTCATGAGTCTGAACAACACAGAATAAATTTTTTTCCCAATACGACCCAGCCAAGTCGCATTCATCCAACCTGAACGCCATTAATACACGACAAAGGTCACTATTCTGGGTCTTGCTATGTAGAAGCGGTAAGAAAAGCAACAACCATGCGGTCGATGATGCGGAGAGCAGCATTTATGTTTAATCTAAAAGATTGTGTTTTTATGATTGGGAAAGATCACTCGATGCTATGACTGCAGTTCACATAGAAGTCGCATCTATTTGGAAATGTGAACGACAACGCAAAAAAATTGGATTTCACAAAAAAGTTGGAATTGAGCATTAAGTCCTGCAGTGTGAACGTAGCCTTAGTGGCGATCTACAGTCCTACTGCTCACTAGTGGTAAACAAGCAAACCAACTTTGCGGCGCCCCTAACATTCAGGAAGTTATGTTTTGTTATGATTGTGATATTTCATTGTTTGCGGAGAGTCAGGCGAAGAAGGCAGCCTTTGGTGAATTTATTTGACAGACTGCTTTTGGGTAGTGGATACAACAAACAATAATCTTAATTAGGGCTTACAGACGCAGGAAAAAATGACAGACGTTGAGGTTCATCACACTGTTAGGCAGAGTCAACACTGGAAATCGTGTGGCATGGTAGGGAAGCTTGTATTTTCGTGAGTGTCTGAAGTTTCATGATTATGGAGGCTGACTGTGAGGAGGTGAAGAGGTCTGCTCAGGCGCTCTTCGTTATCTTAGGACCGTGCCAGAAATGAACTGTGCTAAGCCCTACTGATGAACTAGTAATGGTGCGGTTAGGTTGTGTCTGGCACGGTCCGGTTCAGTTGTGCGTACCATTTACACTCAACAATTATCTTGGTTACTGTGCTTGGACGATCTCGGCATGGTTTCAAAAGGGTAGCGTAAAAGAGGCTTTAGTTAGACTGGATGAAGAGAGTCAGTAAATATCAGTTTTTAGGTCTTAGTCTTAGTTTCATCAATAGTTTGTGGGCTTGCCACAACAAGCATGTCCCTTTTTTCTTTTTTTTTTCCTCAGCTCTAGCATTCTTTCTACTTTCTCAGATGCAGCCGATTTGTGGTGAACATGACTAATATTCCTGCAGTTTGTCCCTCCTGAGCTGTAGAACTCAGAGGTTCCTCTAAAGTCACAACCCTCCTTTCCCTCTTAGCATAGAGGTGAAGTAGGATGTATTAATTCTTCCTCTTTCAGATAATTGATCAAGCATTTGTCTGTAAGATGTACCAATTTCAGTGACTTATTGTAGTAAATGGTTGCAGTGGTATTTATTAAAGAACATTAAGGTTAAGGTGGCTGAATGCAAATATACGGAGAGCCATTTCATTCAAAATTAAATAAATAAATACTGCTATTGATAAATTGTCAATAAATAATAACCCCATGAATAAAACGTTTTCTTTTATTATATTTCAAGATTTGTATTTATTCAAATACAAATATCTATCTATCTATCTATCTATCTATCTATCTATCTATCTATCTATCTATCTATCTATCTATCTATCTATCTATCTATCTATCTATCTATCTATCTATCTATCTATCTATCTATCTATCTATCTATCTATCTATCTATCTATCTAGATAGATAGATAGATAGATAGATAGATAGATAGATAGATAGATAGATAGATAGATAGATAGATAGATAAAATTACACCTCAGCCTTATTTCTTTCTGCATTCAGTAAGAATACAAACTGTAAAAGCTATTCACTAATTGCTTTATCATTTTCTGCCTCAAATTGGGCGACATAGCTGATTATACAATCGAGACTAATGTTGACTTAACAAAGGTCATTTTTTGAATTTGAATGAAATTTGAAGCAGGACATTTTCTTCTAACGACAGGCTTTATTTGAACACTACCCTGATAGTTGACGATAAAGTGTATGCAAATTCTAACAGTTTAACCGTGGGACGTTATCACACCAGCAGAAGCAAGTGACTAAGAGGCATCAAAGTGTAGCCTGTTTTTTATGTATTGCACCTGTGAACAAAGCAGGTGAACTGTCTACCCCGCTGATTGTGATTAAGTGCTGACGGTGTCCCTGTGTGTGTGCAATGATAGGTGTGCTGTTGGTAGAAACATGGAGAAACCATCTTCTTCTGACAGAGCAGAGCTCAATGAGGGCACAGCCCTGGTGGAGGTAATGATCAACACTTTATTTATTACAATGAATTTGACTCTGTAAGTAGGAGTTAGCTGGGGATACAACATATGAAATATAACATTTTCTCTTTGAGTTTGGTGCTAAATTATCAACAAGTAATGCCTTTTAAATCTCTCTGTATTTTTAAGGATGGTGAATTGCCTCAAGGTGCTGAAGGTGGAAAGGTAGATCCTCGGACACTGAGGAAGAGAAGCTCCTCCCGTAAGAGTTTCCGCCTGGACTACCGACTCGAGGTAACAACCTTCCTCCTACTGTGTGCTCCAATCTCAAGACGTGTCCCTTCAGAGTGGAAATAAATGTAATGTTGAGGTGTGTTTATTTTGAATGCAGGAGGAGGTGACAAAGTCCTGTCGGGACAAACATGGGCGCTGGACCAACCCCTGGCCAACATGGCGCTTCCCATCCTACTCCATGCTCTTCAGGTTTATGGTTCTGGACAAAAATCACAGCAATGTGCCAACTAGCACAGAGGTAGGCACCCACTGACTTGGTAAAGCTTGTAAACAATTATTGACTTTATTTTACTGAAAAGGATCCAGAAGGTTTTAAAAAGACAAATTTGATCATCTGACTGTAGGGAAACCACCACTGTGTTTACGCAGTCAGTAATAAGCGTTGTCACAAGCTCATCTCTCCCAGCTCTGTTTACAAACATGGCCCTGAGCTGACGCTGTTATTTATAGCTGCTTCTGGAAACTCTGCTGCTTTCATTGAGGGATTATCAGGCCTCAAAGGCCTCTTTCACTTAGCAAAATAAACAGAAAAAACATTGAAGGCTCCAGTTGCAACACGTAGATAGTCCAAAACTAGATGAACAAAATACTTTTATGCAAAGTTAACACCATTTTAGTTTATAACAGTTTTATTTTATTTAATAGACAAATGATCTGGATAAATTATGTAAAATCTGGCAAGTGTGGCATGTATTTTTTTCAATCTGCTGAGGCAAAACTTGGAAAGTAACATTGGATAGCAAAGCATCTTTGTATATCTATTTTCACAGAGGTGTCACGTAACAAAGTACAAATACTTTGTTACATTTATCTCTACTTTCTACTCCTTACGTTTGTAAAACTAGACTCGTTAGTTTTGTTTCATATTCGCTCAGAACCATCAAAATAATTTGTTTCATCTAGACAATTATTTTGTTTTTGGTTGGACTCAGTGCTGCTCCAACTTGTTGTTTGCCACCTACCAAAATAAATTGTTTTTCAAAATGATGCAAAGTTAAATTTGACACCGCCACCATTAGTTATACAACTAAGAAAATCAAGTCTAAGAAAATTATCCAGAATTCCAGTAAAGCATCTGTTCTTTAAATTTTTTCCTGCATTACTTTTACTTTTTACTTTAAATAGTTTTAAAAATGTTACTTTTACATTTTTACTTGAGTAAAAAGCTTAAGTTGATATTCTAACTTCTACAAAAGTGTTTTTAAACAGTAGGATTTATACTTCTGCTTGGTAATAAACATGAATATTTTGACACCTGCATTTTCAAGTGTTGCCACTGATTCTCTAAAAGGTTTAGGTCTAGACTTTGACTTTGCCGTTCTAACACAGATATGGATTGATTAAGAAGCACTGGGTCCATCCTCTTATTACCGATGCTGCCTCTTCCTTGACCTCCAAAAAATGTTCTGTTTAGACTCAGACTGGGCAATAAATCAATATAAAATATGTCAGATAAATGTTTTTAGTAACTTGACTCCGATCCAGAACAACATGATATTCTGGAGGATATAGTTCTACTTCGACTCAGCACCGCTTCAGTTGTAGGTTCTTTATAGACAGTGAAGACTTGATGTCTTCACGAATCATGTTGCAGAACTGCGCTGAAACACTCGTGATTGACGTTTTTTCACAATGTTTAACTTAACATGCCGTATCCGTCTTTGTCTTCTTGTGAGGAGTGAATATGTGAGCGGGGCATATTGGCTCTGACAGCTTTTCTTAACTGCATGTGTTTAGCTCAACCCACCTTCTCATCAAACCTGATAAACCTCCATGTCCTTGCTTGGAAAAAAAAATATATATATATATACATATATATATATATTTTTTTTCATGGCATGATGCATGATGCTGATTTTCCTGTTGACAAACCTGTGCTATTGATTTGTGCAGTTCCATGCTGTTGTGATTAATGCTCCTCATTCTCAGCCTGTCAGATGTCGGTTGGTATAGAAATATGTTGCACTACTTTTTTTTTTTTTTTAGCATCAGACTTTATTTTGCTTTAGTGTGACAAAAGTTTCAAAGGTTAATCACATATACGCTTCTGTAAGGTGCCTATTTGCCAAGTTAGTGGTGCAATGATTCAGCAGCAGCTTTTGGTAATCCCACTTTTATGATATTGACACTGACAAAAACACCAACCTGCAGGATGAAAGATAAACTTGTTTTCAACACTGTTGACGGTCATCGGTCTCTGTTCCCACAGGTTCTTGACAGTGAGCTCCCTGTAATGGAGCCTTACTTTGTCCAAAACCCACAAGTGTTGGACTCTCATGCTGGTATGAGGGTAACCTGGCTGGGCCACGCTACAGTTCTGGTTGAAATGGAGGGGGTTAATATTCTAACAGACCCGATTTTTAGCCAGAGAGCATCGCCAGTCCAGTTCATGGGGCCCAAAAGGTACAGAGGACCCCCCTGCACAGTAGAACAGGTTTGAGGATTTTATTCTATTTTTTACTCCAAACCAACAAACTAATTTATATCAGACTTTATTTGGTTTAACCCACTCCTGTCCTACAAACAGCTGCCAAGGATAGATGCAGTCGTCATCAGCCACTCTCATTATGATCACCTGGATGCTGGATCTGTTAGCAGCCTAAATGCACGCTTTGGAGCAGAGCTACGCTGGTATGTGTCCCAAATGATTCAGCCACCGTTGTCTCCTTTCTGTCCAGTCTTTGTGAGGTTGTGTATATATAACACTCCAGACCTTGTAAAATAGGATGCCTGTTTTAACAGGTTCGTGCCTCTGGGTTTGATGGACTGGCTCACCAAGATGGGCTGTGAGAACGTGATGGAGCTTGACTGGTGGGAGGAGAACTGCGTCCCAGGTCATGACAACGTCACATTTGTCTGCACACCCTCTCAGCACTGGAGCAAGCGGACAGCGTGGGATGATAACACGGTACTTGATAAGAAATGTTACAGTATTTATATTATCAGTTTTGTTTTATAAACTTCAGTGATATTCTTAGTGCTGTGGAGTTACTGTTTGGAAAATAAGCAGAAATGGAGATTATCTGGAAAAACTAATAATTTTGCCAGTATTTTTTACTTTATGCAGTCTGTAACTCATCCGTTTTTCTTTTAACCGTGTGTTTCAGTCTTTATGGGGAAGCTGGTCTGTTTTGGGTCCCAACCATCGATTTTTCTTCGCCGGTGACACAGGCTACTGCTCATCTTTCCAGGAGATCGGACGTCGCTTTGGGCCATTCGACCTAGCAGCGATTCCAATTGGGGCATACCGACCCAGGTACAGATTCACACCGTTGCATACAGCAGATCAAATATTGTTGATGTAATTATGCAGAAGAGTATGGAAGACCAACTCATACCATTAATTGCTCCCAAAAACGCAATAAACTAAAAAATGTAGGTAGAAATTAAATTAAATAAATGTATGTCTTTTAGTTAGCTTCTTTATTTATTCGCCTTTGTAATAATTGCCTTATTTATTTGTCTGGTATAATCTTCAACTTTATTTATGTGCATGATATATTTTTGTCTGTTTTTTTCTTCAACGCTATTTATTTCTGCCTGTCATTTTTCCATTTATATGTGTGCATTTCTGCCACCTTATGCAAATGAGAGGCTGTGTCTTAGAGGGTCAACTTCTGCTCATTGGTTGGCGGCCCATCTTCTTAACTCGCAGAGCTCAGAGTATTACGTTAATATTTCTCTTTTCTGTTGCTGTTGTTAAATAAAAGTAAGTTTAAAGATCATTTGAGGCGAGAACATTATACTTTTAAGCATCCCTATATGGTCTATTTACCGATTTTATGCGTAATTTGAAAAAGACATTTTCTGAAGTTGAGGACCGCAGCGGCCCTCTCTCGGCATTTTTATTTGGCAAAATGTTAATTTGATTTGTGTTTATCTGACTGTGTTAATTATTTTTATTCCCCGACTAAATGAAAAAAGTAATAATTTATTATTATCGAGAGACTATTAATAACAGGAGGAGAAAAGCAGCTTTAGACGAGCCGAGCATGCTTCTGTTCCAATTGACCCAGATCTATGCTGTGTGCTCCTGTTCTCCCAGAGTCGAGACTTTCCTGGGTTCTTCTCAAGAACATACTTGACGAGAACATGAGTCCATAGTCGCGTTCTTATTAATTGAGAAACGGCCACTGACTTCAGACTCTCATCTCCTCCTGTAGATTTGACCGATGCAGTAAAATTCAAACCAACCAATGAGCAGAAGTTGAACAAGACACAGCCCTTCCTCATTTGCATAATGAGGCAGAAATATAAAGAATAAAATGGACAAAAATATCACATGCACATAAATACATTATTAAATAAATAAGGTAATTGTTACAAAGGCGAATAAAGAAATATCTACATTTGTCTTACTGTATAATTTAATTTCTACCTACATTTATTTATTGTATTTATGGGGGAAATTAACTGTATGCTTATTTATTGAGCATTTATTTATTTCTGTATTTATTTTTAAATATGGCAGAGTTGGTCCTCCATAGTAGAGTAATCCAACGCTAAAAAAGGAAGAGAATTAAGTTAACAAAAATATCAGTGGCAACTTAATTTTGTGAAGGAATTGTAGAGCATGGAGATTATTTAAAACCCCAAATTAATATGTATTCCATTTTCTTAACACTGTTTTGAACACAAAGCGGAGCTTCACAATCCTAGTCAGTTGATCTGTCATGTGCACCGACAGCTTGAGAACAGGATTTAGTAAGAGCCCTGGAGATAATGATGACTGTAAGTGTTAGAGCTCAGTGGAAATAATCATCTTTGATAATAGAAAAAGTCAGCTTCTCTGAGCATATGCTGCTGCAAAAAGTCTTTTTAGCCTTAACTTATATGCCAAGCTTTGTTCATAAGGTTTATTATTTTTGTACTCCAGGTAAAATCACAACTTGCATGTAGTTTTAGCATTTTATTTCAAACAGAATATTAAGCAGGATTCCTGTTGGTGTTTCAGGGATGTGATGCAGGGGCAGCATGTGGATCCAGAGGAGGCTGTTCAAATTCATCAGGACCTTCAGGCTAAACAGTCTGTCGCCATACACTGGGGGACCTTCGCCCTTGCCTACGAGGTAAGATTTATATTTTAGTCACAAGTAGTTTTCTTAATAATTACCTAAAAGTATTTGTAGGAGACTGTGTGGTATAAATGGACTATATGTCAAGCTCCTGTCTTTCATTAATGGATGAACTGATCAATCCAGGTGTGCGTGACCTCTGTAACCATGAGGAGAAGGCCAGACACACCCGGATTAATCAGTTAGTCCAGTAATGAAAGAAGCTGGGGGGAGTTTGGCATAGAGCTCATTACTGCCTTAACAATCAGGTAACGTGGCTAAGTTTGTGCCACCAGCTCACCTGATCCCTGTGCTGCTGATTAACTATGTAAATGAACCACACTACCTGCAAATGCATTGGAAAAATATGACTTTGAGCTGGTGGCACAAAAGAAACATTCACCGACATTTCACTTTTTTATTTCAAACCAACTGTCTACTTTGTCCTTAAGGTGTAGGTGGACAGAGTCTTGTCCAGCGGAGATGTAACTGCATACATCACACCGTTCATCTTAGGTCTGGGGGTTTTGTTTTTAGGATGCACTAGCGTCTAAGGGTCTTGGTTAGAGAAAATCCTGGAGTTTTTTTCAGACACTCCAGCAACATATGTGATGGTTATGTTTTTTGGATTCCATTGCTGATTTGAAGAGCATCTTTGATGTGTTTCCCTTCTGTTTTAGTAGGGACATGCTCGGCCCGGTGTTGTAAGGTTCTGATGACTGAAAGTTTGCATGCCAGTGGGTCAAAAAGAAGGTATTGGTCTGTGTGAGTGGATTTCCATCCCCTTCCATGCTCACCAAACAGTCCAGAAAAGGTAGCTTGTTGATGTGTCTTGTGAAAGCTTCCATTTCTTTTAGCTGGATTTTGATGAATGTGTCATCCACATATTTAAACCAATGGCTTAGTGGTGTTCCTCTGAAAGCATCCAAAGCTCTCTTTTCCATTTCTTCTATGTAAAGGTTGGCTACTATTGATGACACGGGAGATCCCATGGCACAACCATGCTTCTGTATTGTAAAATGATCCCTGAACTTGAAATAGGTGGTGGAAAGACAAAGGTCGAGTACAGTAGGGATCTGGTCAGAGTGAAATTAGTCCTGTTGTAGACATTTCCTGACTATATACTGCCTCTGATAAAGGTATGTAAAAAGACACCAGGGTTTCTTCTTTAAATGTTTGACTTTATTTGCAAAGTCTTTGGAGTTTTCTATGTGATGCGTTTCCCACCAAGGGGGGGCTAAAATATTAAGTTGTTTAGCAATGTTATATGTTACTCAGTTGATGCTGCTGAAAAAGGGTCTGAGTGGTGTTTCTTACCATGGATATAATCTAAAATAAGATGAACAGCTAGTGACCTAAACAACAGGACTAATTTCACTCTGGACCTTTGTCTTTCCGAAACCTGTTTCAACAATTGTAGCCAATCTTTAAATGGAAGAAATGAAAAAGAGAGCTTTGGACACTTTCAGAGGAACACCACCAAGCCATTGGTTTAAATATGTGGATGACACATTCATCAAAATCCAGCTAAAGGAAGTAGAAGCTTTCACAAGACACATCAACTCGGTTGACCACGGCAACAAGCTACCATTTCTGGACTGTTTGGTGAGCATGGAAGGAGATGGAAACCTAAACATTGAAGATTAAAGGAAATCGACTCACACCACCCACTGGAACGCAAACTTCCAGTCATCAGAACCTTACAACACCGGGCCGAGCATGCCCCTACTAAAACAGAAGGGAAGCACAAAGAACAGAAACACATCAAAGATGCTCTTCAAACCTGTGGATATCCAAAAAGCAAGCAGCAGAACATAACGGTGAGAAGATTAAACGCTAAAACATCACCATCCCATATGTTGCTGGAGTCTCTGAAAATCCCAGTAACTTTCAAACCTAACAAGAGGCTTGTGCATCCTAAGGACAAAACCCCCCGACCAAATATAAGCAGAGTGAGAAATGCTCTGATCTTGATATTAGAGAAACCAAACAACCTCTCCACAAGTGCATGGTTCAACACCTTAAGGACATTCATTTGAGGACCAGAATGTAAACATTCTGGACAAAGAAAACAGATGTGAAGGAATCCATTTATGTTGAGAGAAAAACCGACAATACAGTGATAGAGTTGATTCCTTCCCACTATCATCTCAATCCTAATTGCAATGCAGGGGACCAAAACATTTCGCCTGGTAAGCCAGGCCAACAATGACCCTAGTGACTCGGTTTTCAGAGTCATAGGCCACTATCAGGTATTGCAGGCTAACAAAGACCTCAACGATTCCCCATTACTTAGAGGTGGACCTGTTTTTTCAGTTCAATTTACATGTTTTCTAAGCCAAAACATCTTCAAACTTGGAAAACAATGTCCAGTGGTTTTTTATTTTTACTTTTTGGGAATGGCTATAACCTGGATGACTGAGAATCTTCATTAGCAAGTGGAGAAAAGTACATCTCAATAGTCATCTGTCAGGCAGACCCCCGTCACTGGGAATCTGCCATTTTTTAGGTGGTTAAAAACCGCAAGTACCAGAAAATTAAAATTGACATTTCACCACAATCCACTAAAAAAAATATATATTTTAATTTTATGCTAACAGCTCTGCAGGAGCAGAGATCACAGCTTTGTTGTCTTGCTCCCAGATCAGCTTCTTCAAATAGAGAAGTAGATCTTGGAGCTGGCAGGGAGACGGATGCTGCGATCTATGCAGATCTGTTAGCATAAAAGCCAGGAAAATTAACTTTTTACTGGACTGTGGCAAAACAGTTTAAAATAACTATATGAATGTTAAATTTTATGTTCTAGTACTTGCAGTTTTTATCACCCCAGTTGCTACAAACTGCAGCAAGAAATCCCAGGTTGATTTTCCGCCTTGAGGGAGCTATGGCTGGATTCCCAGTGACGGCTCCTTGGCTATGAACTGCATGGATGTTTGGAGATGCACTTTATATAACTCATCACAGCATCTTCCAATGTCAACTGCCCACACTTTGTTTTAGGCACATTGAGGCCACAATTAAAGATAAATGCCCAAAAGACTGAATCACACTCTCCCAAATGGAAAGTTAAAGTTGTGAAGATTCTCAGTCATCCAGGTCATAGTCATTATAAAAACGTTAAAATACAAACCACTGGACTTTGTTATCCAAGTTTAAAGATGTTTTGGCTTAGAAAACATGCCAAACCCCTTAGTAATTGTTGGTTGTTGAGGTCTTTGTTAGCCTGCAATATCCAATACTGGCCTATGCCTCTGAAAAAGGAGTTGTTAGTGTCATTGTTGGCCTGGCTGACCAGGCGAGATGTTTTGGTCCCCTGCATGGAGATTAGGATTGAGATGTTAGCGGGAAGGAATCAACTCTATTGCTGCGTTGTAGGTTTTTCTCTCTTAACATAAATGGCTTCCTTCGCATCCCTTTCAAACCACCTGTCTTTGTCCAACATGTGAACATTCTGGTCCTCAAAAGAATGTCCTGCATAAGGTGTAGATGGACAGCCGAGTCACTCACCTTAAGTCTGGGGGTTTTATCTTTAGCAGCTGAACATAACGGTGAGAAAATTAAACGCAGAAGCATCGCCATCCCATGCTGGAGTCTCTGAAAAAAAAAATCCAGTGGTTTGTTTAACTTTTTTAGAATTACACATCGATTTCTCTGTATTTCAGGGCATCTATGTACCAAATATTTTCATTTATCAAAGTCAGTGGACGGGAGCAGGGTAGTTTCCACAGAGACCCTGACTGGCTGTTTTTTACTCTTAACCCATTATTACTAAAAAGGGTAAAGCCCTCAAAAATGTGTTTCAATTTATTTACAGCATATTGGGTGAGCAAACCCAGCCTCTACAGGTGCTGGTCATAAAATTAGAATATCATGAAAAAGTAGATTGATTTCAGTAATTCCATTTAAAAAGTGAAACTTGTATATTATATTCATACATTACATACAAACTCATATATTTCAGATGTTTATTTTGTTTAATTTTGATGATTACAAATGACAACAAATGAAAATCTCAAATTCATCATATCAGAAAATTAGAATATTACTGAAGACCAATAAAAACAAAGGATTTATAGAAATGTTGGCCAACTGAAAAGTATGAACATGAAAAGTATGAGCATGTACAGCACTCAGTATTTAGTTGGGCCTCCTTTGGCCTGTATTACTGCAGCAATGCGGCGATCAGTCTGTGGCACTGCTCAGGTGTTATGATAGCCCAGGTTGCTCTAATAGTGGCTTTTAGCTCTTCTGAATTGTTGGGTCTGGTGTATTGCATCTTCTTCTTCACAATACCCCATAGATTTTCTATGGGGTTAAGGTCAGGAGAGTTTGCTGGCCAATTAAGAACAGGGATACCATGGTCCTTCAACCAGGTACTGGTAGCTTTGGCACTGTGTGCAGGTGCCAAGTCCTGTTGGAAAATGAAATCTGCATCTCCAAAAAGTTGGTCAGCTGCAGGAAGCATGAAGTGCTCTAAAACTTCCTGGTATGTGGCTGCGTTGACCCTGGACCTCAGAAAACACAATGGACCAACACCAGCAGATGACATGGCACCCCAAACCATCACTGACTGTGGAAACTTTACACTGGACTTCAAGCAACGTGGATGAAGTGCCTCTCTTCTTTTCCTCCAGACTCTGGGACCTTGATTTCCAAAGGAAATGCAAAATTTACTTTCATCAGAGAACATGACTTTGGACCACTCACCAGCAGTCCAGTCCTGTTTCTCTTTAGCCCAGGCAAGACGCTTCTGACGCTGTCTGTGGTTCAAGAGTGGCTTGACACAAGGAATGCGACAGCAGAAACCCATGTCTTTCATACGTCTGTGTGTGGTGGTTCTTGAAGCACTCACTCCAGCTGCAGTCCACTCTTTGTGAATCTCCCCCACATTTTTGAATGGGTTTTGTTTCACAATCCTCTCCAGGGTGCGGTTATCTCTCTTGCTTGTACACTTTTTTCGACCACATCTTTTCCTTCCCTTCGCCTCTCTATTAATGTGCTTGGACACTGAGCTCTGTGAACAGCCAGCCTCTTTAGCGATGACCTTTTGTGTCTTGCCCTCCTTGTGCAAGGTGTCGATGGTCGTCTTTTGGACAACTGTCAAGTCAGCAGTCTTCCCCATGATTGTGTAGCCTATAGAACTAGACTGAAAGACCATTTAAAGGCTTTTGCAGGTGGTTTGAGTTAATTAGCTGATTAGAGTGTGGCACCAGGGGCCATCAATTTTGAACCTTTTCACAATATTCTAATTTTCTGATATGATGAATTTGAGATTTTCATTTGTTGTCATTTGTAATCATCAAAATTAAACAAAATAAACATCTGAAATATATGAGTTTGTATGTAATGTATGAATATAATATACAAGTTTCACTTTTTAAATGGAATTACTGAAATCAATCTACTTTTTCATGATATTCTAATTTTATGACCAGCACCTGTATATCATTAGTTTGGTGAGAAATGCATCTGTTGAGCTTTCAGAGTTCAGCAGAATCAATGTTAGTCCGTCACACTGACCAACAATGGCTTACATTGCTCACTCAATGCGCAGTAAATAAGCCAATCAGATATCAGAATCTGTGTGGAAGCAGCCCACTGAGTTTAATAGATGGAGATGACAATTATAATACTTTGCTGCGCAAACATCCTGTAATAGATAGAAAAATAATGTGTTCAAATTGTGTACCCTATATTCCTCCTATTTGCACTCTAGCCTTGACAGGATCTGCTAGAAAAGGAGACTTGATTTAACTCTCAGCTAAAAGTAGGGAATACTAACAAACAGGCTAACTGCACAAATTCCTGAACTTAAGGCAGCTCCTTTCTTTCCCGCCCTTCATTACTGAACGAACCGATTTATCCAGGTGTGTCAGGCCATTGTTTTTGTGGTTACTGAGGTCAGACACATCTAGATGAATCTGTTCATCCAGTAGAGAAAGACAGGAATTAACAGAGTTGTCTATAGAGCCAATTTTACTCCGGTTATTGTCCTCCTGGCCCTGAAAACAAAAAAGCAGATCTAACTCTGGATTGATACCACAGCCACAATATAAGACTGGGCTTTGAGGTCACTCCTGTTTTATATCATTCTATACTGTTTAACAATTTATATATAACCCAAGCAAGATCATTTGTGATATTCTCTTCCTGTCTCTCCTTCATTCAGTATTACCTGGAGCCTCCAGTTCGTCTCAGAGAGGCCTTGAAACAGAAGGGACTGAAACCAGAATCGTTCTTCACTTTGCATCACGGGGAGTCTCGGCTCATAGCTTCAGAGGACAGGGACGTCTTTGAATGATGTGTCTCCATCTGTCTTTGGACTAAATCTGTAAAAAGAAACAAGACTGATGATGACAGCTCCACCTAAATAAAAATGAATGTTTTATGGTGCACATATCAACTCTTTGCCATACCACAGCTTTTTAAAGGAAATACACTCAACTGCCTGGTTGACCTTAAAATTCATTGGATAAAGTACTATACTGTTTGACAAAAAAAATAAGCCAGTCTGCGATAACTTACATGTTTCCAATAGATCTAGGGTTGTGGGGCTCTGCCTTAGAAATCTTTCACATCTAAGGAAGAAGGAAAAACAAAAAGAATTCAGCTTAACTTTTCATCTTTAGACCCACACAGAGTTACTGTAGGATTCTTTTTTTAAAGATGGTGCCATATTTGAATGTGTTGTTTTCGGATAATTTGAAAACATAAAGATATGCATTTGCCTCAATTGATAGCCTATCCACATCTCACAACATTTCTATAAACCCACAGTTAAACAGTGTGAAATCTCCACATACCACCACCTCTATGTGCTAACAAGACAGGTGCCTCATCACAGGTATTTTCAGTGAATGTTTTAGATACAACCACTTTGGACAAATACAGGCCCCCCAATGCAGAAAAATCCTATACCTCAACTATTTGTTACTTGGCTTTTTCATATGTGGTCACTTTAATTTGTATAAAATGCGAGAGCTGTTCTTATCCAACAAGAGACTAGATCGCTAAACTCCCCACAATTCTTTTAATTTCTACTGTGTGTTTTGATACATGCAGCATAATGCTGTCATCCATATAAAGTCTATTCATCTAATAATACATTTCAAGTTCATGTGCTGGTCTGCTGCGTTTAGCCTCTTTAAATGCAGAGCAAAAGATCTCAAACCTCCCTCAGTCTGAAAAGCAAGACTGGCACACCTGGTACATTTACTGTCAGTAAACGGAAAATCAACTCAGTTGGTTAAAAACTGTGACCAACCCTTTAGCAATACAACTGCCAGTGATGGAGGTTAAGAAGCAAAAAAACACCTACTAAGACATCCACACTCAAAGTATTACGATTATATTAATAGTAGACTGACTCCTAATAGCTTGTTTTACTGATCAAGAGGACGACAGGAATGATTGATGGTGCCTTCATGTGGTAGCGTATTTATGGTAAATATCAAAAGCCACAATGGAATTTTACACTTGAACTCCCATTGATGTCGTAATTTCCACTGGAAAGCTATGAAAATTCTATGATACCCAAGCTTTGTCTACATGGCGGAGAGCAGAGAAAAGATTCTGTTCTCCTGTTGTGTTTGTATCTTTCACAATGCTGTGACATAAATATGTTTTAAAAAATTTATTTAAAGTTGCATCGGTTTTTAATATGATGCATTTGATGCATCCTCTTCTTCCTGTAGCAGATCAATAGGGAAGTCTAACTGTCTCGCCCAGGTCAGGATCATCTTTGGATCCATGTTTCTCTTCTCTACAACAAAAGCGCTGCTTATTTCCTCTAAGCGAAGTGGTAGGGGTCATTTTTACCGGAACACATAAAGGCACCATTAATCCTAAGACCACCACTACACCAATCTGTTTCTACAACCAGCTCATCAATTTATCAATGAAAGAAAATAAAGAGCACTTCAACAAAACAGTCAAACACTGTGACTGAATCATTAAAAGGTAAAAGCAAAAAATTATTCTAAAATCTTAAAGATTCGATTGTTATGTTTAAAAAAAAAGATAACACAAAGGATCCATTCCAAAGACACAGCTACTATTTCCCAGATAGAAACAAAACACATTTCTATTTTTTCAACTGGTATTGCAATTTAAATCCCAGCAAAAACCTGGACTTTCATCAGAGCACGGTTCTGACTACTTCATCTCGTGTTTTCTCAGAAGGCATTGTTGCCAAATCAATCAGGCTAATTATTAGCTTCCTTAGATGGCCTACCTTTCAGATTTTGACATTTTAAAAGGAATCTGACATTGTATCAGGCTGGACTTTAATTAGGTGAGAAAATTAGCAAAAATGCAGGATTATCAACAGAGTTCTTATCAAGGTTTCTCCTAAATAGTGACTTGGCTTTAATTTCTTAGTGTGGGTTTCTCTAGGTGCTGCAGTTCCCTGTCACTGATTAAAAAAATAGCAATCAGTGATGAATAACAGGAAATCCACAGAGTACGCAAATGTTCCTTTCTGAGATAGCATCTGATACCAGACTGAGGCCAATTGCTCTGTGTGTGTCTGTTTTTTTTTTTCTGGATACAAACAGATCAATGTGAGGAAAGCCTCACACCTTGGTGGAGCTTATGACTCACCAAAGTGACATTTTCCATTTAATATTTGCACCATAGATATATGGGTCAGCTGATGATTTGTGGTTTTTGCAAATAATAAGTGTCTTAAAGGTATAGAGGAGGATTTTCTTTTTCTGGGTGGATCATCAAAATAAGAGGTCCTCCTAATTGTCAGTCATTCGGGTAATATGTTTACGTAAAGCCGTCCTACGTGCTCGTCCTCTGTTAGCTGCCTTTTTCTGTGCATGCACAGTTTTATATGGTTAGCTACGGTGTCATTGAAGCTCTCCTTTCCCTTTTTGAAAATGGCCGAGGGTTGTAAGAGAAAAAGTGTCTACGAAGTGTATACGAAGAAGAGAAAGGCCTCAGAAAAGCGAAACAAGATCAGATTGTTTTGGGAGTTTCTTTTACGCAATGGCGTACACTGAAACCTCGGTTGCAAAGTTTCTGTTCGACAGGTGAAGTTCGGCATCCTATTTGGAGAAATCCATTTCACATCACTGCTAATAAAAATTATCTACCTCTATATTGTAACTTTCTAGGTAAGATAAGTTTATTTATTTTGTAATTTGCATTTTTAGTAATACGGTGGTCACACATCCTTATTTACCCCGCAAACGTCCACATTTCCGCTGCAGCATACACATACATACATACATACATGTACCAGTAGTCTTATTTAAGGGGAAACTTTTTATGTAAATAAGGGTGAGATGAGATCCATGCGAGCGTCGTCTTATTGCATCCCCGCACATCCTTGAGAAATGGGCTTGCGCATGCTCTTGCATGCACATAATAGGTGTTCCCTCTCGGGAGTGGGTACAGGGTTGTCCATGTGTTTTGTTTTTTTTTTAAGTGGAGGGGGCGGGTCTTTGCAAAAATTCATGAAAATCCTCCACTATACCTTTATGTACATAGCATATTCTTATACGGAGCCACACTGAAATGCACATCATAGGAATTTGGGCTTTCAAACTTTATTTTGGAATTGAACCCACAACCTTCCAATTGTAAGTTTACTACACTGCCCACGGCACAACAGTACTTCTCTAAGTTCAAACCCTTTGTGTTCGGAAAATTTCAAACTTGCTTCACGGTCTCAAGTTTATTCGCTTAAACTTTTACAATACAAAAGTGTTAAAGGAATATGTTTTCATTTTTTCTTTCAATAAAGATGCCAAAAAGCTAAAAGTCTGGTTTCATCATTTACATAGTAGAAATTTTGTTTAGTTTAAAAACTCTTGTCTGTATTGTTACCCTGATTTCAAATGTAAAGCTTGTATCTTATCTCATAAAACCAAAGGTTAAAGAATTATTTCAATTTCAATGGTCAGAAAATAATAATTCATTGTCCAAAATATCAGCATAGATTATTGAGTTTTTGGAAAAATGTGGACATTTGAAGAAAAAAAAAAAGTATTCAGAAAAAAGTATTTTAAATTACATTTTTAAATCTAGAATCAACATACACCAACTATAAATTAAAATATTTGGTGTTTTATTTCTATTTAAATATTTTATAATCTATATTAGTTAAATATTACTGTTTTCTTTCAAATAAATACTGCTTTTTTACTTAATAGCCCCATTCATAACATCAGGTACTGTTCTTAAACTAATCCTAAAACACTTGCTTACTATTAAATTATTCAAGATGTGCTTTTGTGAATTTTTATTATTATTAAATTTGCCTTAAATTGTGGTTTCATAAAATATATAATGGTGAAACTTCACAGTATCCTGTATATCACAATTCCCCATTACTAAGAAACTAAGCTTACATCCAGGATCGTTTACAGCTGTTTCAGTAAAGTTTTAATAGGTTCTGTTGGATTTATCTATCAACGCAAACAATTAGAAAAGGCCTAATAATAAATGAGCTAAATTATCAATGTCAGCGCAGACAGCTACCACATGTTTGTTATTTTTAGAGAAAACTGCAGAGAAAATAAAATTGTGACCACAGACCTGTTCAGGCGATATTCCAAAGATTGTCGTCCTCCTGTTTAGCTTTGCTGTGAAAAAATAAAAATAGACCCACATAAGCACAAAATAACTTATTTTCATTGTTTTTTTTTTTCTGTTGTTTCTGCTGGCTGACACTTCTCTCTCCCACAGGTGTTTCCAATTAGCCTGATACTCTCCTGTTTCAAAAGTTTAAAGGGATATTCTGCTGTTTTCCCAGTGTTTGCCATTTTTTTCAGCTTGCATGAAAGCATTTACAAACAAAATATTAATGTTAGAACTGTAAATATACATTCATATGTTTATATTTCCTTTTTATGTATTTATTGCTGTTTTCAAGGCTGCACTTCAAAAAAATGAAATTGTCCAGAGCTGTTTTAAACGAAATTTCTTTTTGTTTACACTGGTGTATAGAAAATGACAAAATAAATCTGTCTAAAGTCTAAATTTAGTAAAAACCAACGCAAAATATCCCCTTTTACTTTTTTTTTTTCCCCATAAAGCGAACTTTGGATTAAGTTATGCATTAACTTATCTATTAGTTTTTAATGAACAATCTTTTCTGAAATGACAGAATAAAGTATTTTAGCACCTAAATTAATAAGTATGCAGACTCCCACAGTATATTCAGTATAATCCCCCCCCATCAATATTCAACTTTATTGGTTAAAAACGTGATTGAGAAAATTGCAACAAAGCAAGAACAACGCTAATAATTTCTAAAGTTTTCATTTGTTTAACCAAAAAGAAACACCTATTGACTGTGATAAATCATTAATTTAATGCTAATGCAGGATGTAATCAACTAAGATAAAGAAAACTATAGTGCAGCTGAAGGTATGGACAAGAAACGTAATTAAAAAACACGTATAAGGTTTGAGGCTGGTTTACTAATAAAATATTTAAATGTCAAATTCTAATGTTTTTTTTAAGGGTTTATACAAACTGTGGCAAAAGCTGAGAAAGACTTATGGACCTTAAAAAAAAAAGCTCAATAAAAGCCTTTCTTCTTCCTCTTCTTTTACTTCATTACTAAATATTAATTTAGGTTTATGACCTTTAAACGACAGACATGATGGAGCTTATTTAATCTGAAAATGAACACACTTAAGGTTAAGCTAAATAAAGTTTTCATTTGTACTAAATCATAATACAAAATGAAAACAACCATCTTAAATGGAAACAAACTGTTTAAACATTAAAAGCTGTTTCTTAATTATTCAAACTTAAGCATAAACTTAAAACTGACAGTATAAACTTCCATGTCCCGCTGCACAGTGTATTGAAATCATATTTGTTCTGCAAAAATTGAGGTTCTCTCCTCCTGAAGAAAAACATTGAAGGTTACAGTAACTGGATTTTCTGTATTGTTGTTGTGTGTGCACTTACTTGTTTGTCCTGTTTGTGTTGCCATATCCCAGGCGTGGAACCTGTCCGCCTTTCCGTGATGCTGCACGTTTAAGTTGGATTAGATGATGAATGGAGAAATCTTCCAGGTCCAGTCTTCTCCCTTCTTCCTCAGGAGGTGTCTCACTATAAAAAGTCCTCTAGAAATGTGTCCATCTTTTCCCTTTTTTATTTCAACCTACAAAAACTTCAGAAAATTCTTATACTACTATTAAATCTAAAAACTAATTGTTTCTCTGCCAAATCTATTCTATCTTACTTAGTGTAAATAATAGTTAATTATTTCAGAAAAGGTGGGAAACACCCAAAACATAAGAGCAAAAAGAATACAAAACCACATGAATTTAATTAACAGTGTACAAAACATGGCTCCAGTTACCGTGGCTAAACATTGAATATACAGATACATCTGTAAAGGAATCACTAACAACACAAACAAGACAGATTGAATCACGTTTGATAAACTCTTCACCAGAGCGTATTGTTGTGATCCACACATAATGTGTACGATAAATAAACAAAATCTGATTTGTAATTTCAACTAAAAATGTTTTAAATTAAATAAAAGCTGCCCAGAATCTAAAGAGACTAAAAGTTTTAGTGAAACTTAAAGGTTCATTTCAGCAGTATCTGTAATATATATGCTTACTGGTTGAGGTTAATACACTGTAGGGGAAAATTTTAATATATGCACTTTTTATATTTATACAGCAGAAAGGCACAGCTCAAAACAAAAAGATAGATGGATATACAGTTTTTGGGGTGAAACTGATAAAAGCTCACATATATCAGATGAAAAATAACCCGCAGTTGTCTCATTTTTCCACGTATCGAGCCACTGAGCTGATTCTACTCTTCAGAGATTTGCCTGGTTGTACTTTTTAATCTCTAATAAGAACCCAAATGTCTTTAAACATTAAGTTCTTTTACAGGAACACTTTCCCACCATCAAGCGATTAAGCTTAAAATGATTTCTGCTTGTAGTTTCATAGCATTAAGCTGTATTTGAAATGCTTTATTAATGACTCACAACATATTTGTTTTAACCCCAGTTCAAAATGTTCTTTTGCAATAACGGCATTAATAAATCTGCTACATAAGTGACAACAGGAAACTTTTTGCCCAAATATGCCTGTCGTAAGTTCACACCATACCTATATTTATATCTGCAGTATACCATTTATCTTGTATATCTAAATGGGTTATTGAGAAAAATATATAGTACTGTAAAATTCAGGTAGTAAAAAGGTGATATTTGGATGTTTTAATTCTTAGCAGTAAAACATATCTTCACAATCTATATAAAGTTCCCTCCTGGTTTGCATACTGAAGAAATTTGTTGAATCTGCTTCCTAAAAGGTCCACTTGAGGTGATTTGTGTGCAAACCTGTTTACATATTGAGAGCAAAGTTTTGTGGCATCATAAAACAAGTAAAGCGCATGAGAGGCAGAGGAGGAGGCCTGACAGACGTATAAAAGACGCACCCCCGCAGTCGTTTGCATTCTCCTACAAGGACAAAACAGACAAAAGTTTGCTTTTCAGTCCTGGTGGTCTTTCACATTAAAATGATCAAACATTACAAATTGTTTGTGTAAAACAAGAAAATTATGTTTATACATTTAGGAGTCTAATTTTGAAATCTTTTGGCTTAATTCATCTCGGCATAAAGGTCCTATTTTAGACTTTTGGATTTTACAGAAAGGATGTTGCTCATGAAGTGCATGAAGGAATGTTTGGTCTTTTAAATAAAATGTAAGAACTGGTAAAAGACTCGAGATTGCAGACCTCCGCCACACTGGAAAAACTATCTAGAAATAAGTAAAAATTTCTTAAATTAAGTGTATTTACCCTTAATTTGAGTAGGTAAATTAGATAGATTGCCGAGTACTTTTACTCTTAAAATAAGATATTGTGTTTTCTTATTTTTAGTTGAAATTGTCTTGTTTCAGTGGAAAAACGTCTCATTTACCTCCTCAGTCCAAGAACAGATGCACCTATTTTAAGAAAATTTGACTTAAATGACTCTAGATTTCGATAATTTCCAGTGCAAGCAGCAAATTTCTTTATTAAATAATAAATATATGATAAATAAATATCCCTATATCAAGATTGTGATCCGGATTATTAGTAGAAGAGACAGTGTGCTTGGGGCTGGATTCCTTCATCACCCAGGCTGAAGTAACCTAGATCATCAAAAAACTCCATGGTTTGAATCTTTAAAAACTCTTCTGTATCCAGATTACTTCAAGATTTGGATTGCCACCAAAATTGAATGGATGGTTCCAGGGATTCCATCCTTCTGCTGGGGGACTTCCCTAGGGGACACCTAGGGCGGCGTGATTGGGAGGAACAGACCCCCAGCTCTGAACCCGAATGGTGTTTACAGCATAAGGATGTCCATCAGGGTACTTGGCACCAGGACACCTGAGGCCAAAGGTCAATTATAGACTTTGTAGTTGCATCTTCTGACCTTTGGCCAAAATTTCTTGGAAACTCAGAGGAAGAGAAGAGCGGAGCGGAGCCAATCCGCTGGATTGAAGAGGAGGAAACCAGACAGACTTAGCAGGCCCTGCTGAGTAGTGAGGGTCTGCTGGGAACGTCTGTTTGAGCCCTCGGGTCATGTACGTGTTGCACTCCCACCTGCAGGAGAGCTTCGCCAAGTTTCCAGGGGAGGCTGGAGACATGGAGTGTTAGTGGACCATGTTCTCAAGTTCAAGTGTTGATGCAGCCACCCATAGATGTGGAGGTCTAAGGTCTGTAGTTCCTGTTGCGGAAACTTTTGTGTTTTTTCCTAGTTTTTTCAAGATATTCCAAAAAAGCTACAAAACAATCCACTGGACTTTGTTTCCAAGTTTGAAGACGTTTCGCTTCCCATCCAGGAAGCTCTTCTAAATGTATTGCTGGAATTTGACATGTTGGCATGACGTTGCCATGGAGGTAAAAAAAAAAAAATTATGCTTATCTATGTGATAATAAACCCTAATCCTCCCTCCTCTATTCTAGTATTTGCATTTGTCTGTAATTGCAGTGAATGTGCACCATGGGGTAGGACAGTGAGAACCTGACCTGTGGGTGGTACGAGTGGCATGACTCAGGACGTCTACGGATCTTCTGGGACCGCATCCTGTCACACTTGACTGATGCATTATGTGCAGCAAGGTTAAGAAAAAAACAAAAACAATGCGAAAACAAACATGCAACAACAAAAGTTCCAGAGCTCAAGTTTGGGGTAATGGGGCAAGAATGTATATTCTTAATTTTTCACTGTTCATTAAGTCACTTTGTCAAAGGATATATTTGACCTCTTTAGGCTCCAGAGTGATGGGTGGATACTGTCTGGAACAGTCACAGTCTCCTTGGACCACCAACATCAGCAGGTTGCTTTCTGGTATTTGTTGCACTACAAACATCCTGAAACAGATAGAAGTGAAATAGAAAGAAACGTCAAAGCAACTCCATGTAGAATAGCTCAGAGTAAAATGCCTGACAGAAATCGCTAACAGACCGAATAATCCTCACATAAAGAGCCTTGCAAAAGTGTTTCTTACACCTTTGACTTTCTTATTTTTTAACATTACTGCCATAAAGCTCTATGTATATTAAGCACAGTGGTTTTTGCATCATGTTATGGAGATTAATTTCTTCTGGAGGAAACACAATCTGAGAAAAAAATGAGACTAAACTGAGCCGTAACTGAAAACTATGGCTGCACAATGGTTCACAAATTTATCATTTGGCAATATCACTTTATGCAATATGCGTATCACAAAAACTGCCTTCGATTTCAATACACTTTAGCCATTTATTTCAGTACCACATATTCAGCAACTCTAAATATTTGGTGATACTAATTGCTCTATTTACTATAACAAAGTTGAAAAAAAGTCATTAATTAAATAAAACTAAGTAGATGTTTCTCAAATGTTAAATATAAAGAGTTTTTAAGGAAGTTATTAAAAAAAGAAGCCGTACAACAATAAGGTAAAACAACAGATCTGGTGACAAAATATGATGATGCATTATTTATCATTAGAAATCAGTTATTTAAACCCCTTAGAGTTCACTAGCAGAACAGCATTGGGGACAAAGGTTACTCTACTGTTCTCAAAGGCTGATCAGATGAGCCTACAGCCAGATGGCAACTTTTGGAAAGGTGAAAACAAAATCTGAGTAGGATATGAGTCTGAATTAGGAATATCAGATATTTAAAAAATCAAGTTATACCAAAAAGCTTTAATGTGTTATAATGATCTGATCACAGTTCAAAATCAAATCTGAAGGAAAATTCATGGCTAGAACTAAAGATTTGCTGCTCACAGTCCACATTCACTTGCTATTTAGCAAAGACATACCCCAGCATCAAGATAACTTGATGCTCTAATTGCAGTGAAAACCCGACAAGAACAAATCGAATGAATGTACCCTTTTCTGTATTGTTACTATATATATATATATATATATATATATATATATATATATATATATATATATATATATATATATATATATATATATATATATATATATATATATGTCCACCCCCTATTCCTTCTCATATTGTTAATTTTTTGTCTTTGTAATTTTTCAAGCCTGTAAACTGGGTTGCAATAACAGAAATCAGGTTACGATAAATATTATAAAATTTTATACATTTTATAAACCTAACCAAACCTAACACAGTTTAACAAAGCTGTCAGTACAGAACATTTGAAAAAAAGAAAATCATTAATTTTTATTTTCTAGTTTGTTTATCAGAACACATTATGGTAAACATTTAGATTTTGTTTTATTGGAACATGATAGAAAACAAAAAAAAAAAAAAGGTTACATGGTTATGGATTCTTTTGGAGGGAAATATTCATGTATGAAAAGTCTATGATAACTTGGATATGTTATACTTCTGCTTTCCACAAGAGGGGACCCAAACTCTGCTTATCCTCTCAAGCTGATTTCTCTCTTTCCTTTCCACCACTATGCCTTGCATCATTGTTTCTGGCTCTCCATCTTGCCATTCAAACCCCTACTTTCTATTTTAATACTCACTCACAATTTTTTTTAAACCCATGCTTCTCACCCTGCATATAACTCTCCTTACCCCCATAACATCTTGGTCCCCTCTACTATCACTCTTCTGACAGTCTTGTATAAATAGACACTGATCATATTGAGCAGAGCGCAGGAAAGCTCTAGAAAAAAAATGGATTCTGGGGAGACAATTTAATATGACCAGTCCGGAGCATAAAAATGACTTTGGCTGCTGTCTGTGTGTATGTGTACATGAGTGTGTGCTTACTTCTGGCACCGTCCACATTTAATAATGCTGTTAGTCTCCTTGACTGACGGCTCATGAATAAAGCTTGGGTACTCGGTGTCACATGGCTGCAATGGGTTCCATTTTTTCTTCGGAACATAAGCTAATGGAGAAATAGAAAGGGGTAATTTCTTGATTAGTTAAGAGTGCATGTGTGATCGACGGGCTAAAAGCCAAACTTTTAGGATATTACTGCTGCTCAGATGAAAGCATGCTTCAAACAAACTGAATGTACAATAAGAGGTGATTTGAAAGCAGACAGAAGAGCTATAATAGCTCAGGAAAGTTTACATGTCTGGCTGGGATTTTGTTTAACTGCTTAGATATTCCATTAGCTGAGATAAAAGTGAAGGATTTGGCAGCCGTGTCTGCTCCCACTGAAAGCCTTATGTAATCTGAAAAACTAAATTTAATTCTGCTTGGAACGTTTCACAAACAGTAAGGTCTGCAGAGCAACAGACCCCCTCTAAAACACCTCAAAGCAAATACTCACAGCGACTGAAGGATGGTTTTGCTGAATGGATGGACGGTGGTAAAGATGAGAGGGTCATTGATGAGGGGGGGTGGAGGTATGATTCATAGGACCGTTAAGACAATTGAAAGGAAATGAAAGGTGATATATGAAAATCTGCCTCATAATTAATGAAAAGACACTTTATACATATCATCCAGTTAAAACCAGATAGGTACATTCGCCATATATAACAAAAAACGTTAAGTAATGATTACAAAAAATATTTCTATAGTCTCAGATAGGTGAGGCAAAACATTTTTAGACTTTTAAAAATCTTATATAAAAGGATTATAATCATTTTTGTGTGTAAATTAATTTCAACAATCAGCACATCACCAGCTAATGTTACCTCACTTTCCACAGGCTGATAGGCAGCTGTGTGCAGTGGATTGCTAAAGTTTTCAGCACGTATTGCAGACAGTCATGACAGATGATGCTATTGTTTATCAGGTCAGGGGTGAATATATATAGCTGCTACTGAAAGTTAAATCTTCTCATTACAGTTTCCCCCGGATTTGTTTTAAAACTTTAATTCTTTCTTCCGTGTTTCAAACTTTTTCTTCTTGCAGACATACATAAAACGATCAGCTTTAACTACTGTTGCACCGATACCGATACCAGTATCGGACAGGGTCCCGATCCAGCACTATCAGTATCGGCGATTACCGACAAATTGGGCACCGATACCATTTTTAGAGCCAAAAGTTTATTCAACTATTGTCACCCAAAAGTTCTACTGGATTCACTTTGTATTAGTCTTTTTCCTGCTTCACAAAGGTAGGCAGCAGCCCGACAAAAAGCCACGATGGTAATTATTTTACATCCAAGTAGTATGCAGTTCCTCCTACATACACACACACAAATCAATTTCAAACAGATGGTATCAGTCGATACTGCACAGCCAGGTATCTGGTATCGGTATCAGGGTCAAAAAATAGCATTGGCGCAACACTAACTTTATCACGGGGACTTTTTTTTTTTTTTTTTTTTTTTAAATAGTTCAAATAGTGAATTTTGTATGATCTTAGTCAAATTTACAGTCATTGACAAAGATAGTTTGTTTTTATTGGTGAATGTAAATATCTGGTTTCAACTGTATTGGTCTGGAAAGGTTTAATTTACTTTGGTGTTATGAGGAACATGAAATGGGCATTTTGAATGAAATGTAAATGAAAGCATACTTACCCTCAATGTATTTATGCTAATTCAGATTCAACTTTTAAAAATTAGTTCATCTTGGAAAAATCTGTGCTTAAGAATGTGTGAGACATGCAAAGAGAAAAAGGAAATTGAGCCATATAACAGCTCACCATCAGCAAAAGGCTCCGTATGCCAAAAGCTGCAGAAATTGAACTCCAGTAGAAACCTTAAAGAGGAAAGAGAGAGAAAGCGATTTGTAGACAGAGGAGACACAAAAAATTAGCTAAGTTTTGATTTGAGATAAATAAAGTAAGCCTTAGAGTCACTCTTTAATAACCATTAGATGCTATACCGATTAATATCAAACATTTTTATTAAATAAAACACTGGTTGAAGTTGAACTTACATTGTAGGTTTTAAGCTGCAACAGTATTTTACATCCAAATCAAATCCCATATATGAAAAGTTGGATCCCAGCCAAGATTTTAAGAAAGAATCTGCATCTTAGATCGCCCAGATTAAACTCAACCTCTGATTCCTGTCATTAGTAGGCCTATACTGTCAGAAATGTTTTTGTTTGCTGCAGCTCAGACTATTCAGAGATCAATAAAATACTATTTAAGTCTTTTTTTTTTTTGCATACTTTTCAAAAATCTGTTTTAAGCTTTGCACATGATCTTGTTGATCTGATTACTGTAGATGTTCTTCAAAGTTGGTTCAAAGATGACTATACTGCTGCAGCTGATCTGTTTTTCTGGGTCACATGACCTGCCTGGACTCAGGCATCTGCAGCATACAGGGAGGGCGACGGCAGGGAAGCTAAAGCTGCAGCCCTTTCAATTAATAAACCACAAGTTTATGAAGTAGGGAGACCAAATTCTGTCAAAGTCAGCTCTATAGTCATTAGGTCTAATCCTTAACAGGTTATTCATCCTAACCCCTACGATGAGCTGAATTACAACAATTCTGCACAACAGTGGGTTTGGATGGCTTTGAATGAACAACTACTCAAAGGACACATTGTTTGGAATCGCATCTTTACAACCTGGCTCAATAATACCTGATGTAGGTCTGCTTCTAGCGTTGCTAGTCAATTAAACTTTACAGTGAATTGGTGATGCAGAGCAGACTATAATGTTGCCTTTAGCCACACTTACAGTAGGAAGTTAGAGAGGAACCACTTGAAGGTCGAAGCCAAAGCGTAAAATGACTGCAGGGAGAATGGAACAGATGAAGTTTGGTGTAAAAGTGACTGGATTCTTGTTTCAAAAATACAAATTAAACTTTAAATAATTGAACTTACGCTGAGAAGTGGACGGGCGCTGCTGACAGAGTGAGAGTTGGTCTTACACATGGCCTGGTAGTCAAACAAGGACACCCTGAGGGGACATGAGCAGACATGTAAACACGGTGTAATTCCTTTAGCTCTTTTACAAACTTTTACTGATCCTCTTACTGTCTTTCACAACTAATATAGCACTAGGAACTGCAAGCTGATGAAAAAAGCAATGTGGATTGAATAGCTTTTTTTTTATTTGGCTCATATCTGAAATCTGAATTTCTAAAACTCTGATCTGCTTTTACAAGTTGTAGCAAACTCCTCTTAGTCTTTATAATCTATGATTAGAAACTTTTTTATTTTTATTTTTTATTTTTTTCTCTGTTCTCCAGATGACTTGAATCACAAACTGCACCATAAAGTGTTTTGTAGTAAAAATAATAACTAAAAATAAACACCATTACTCTCAAATCTATGTTACAATACAGAAGCCTTAATTCAACCCAGAAAAAATAAATTGAGGAATATAGTATTATTATTTATTAAAAGATTTTATCTAATTTGGGTATGAATTATATTCGTCTGTTATTAGCCCTTCTTGATGATCTCATGTTTTGACACAAAAAAGGTGAAATTTATAAAAATCTGGAGGTAAATATGTTTTCATCAGATTCATTTGCACAGATTTTAGGAGCATGTGATTATAAATCAAACCAGAAAAGAATCAGAAGCATGTTCTCTACTAAAGGTTGCTGCCTGTGCCACTGGATAAGGTAAACTAATTGCTTTCATTAGCTAGTTTTAAGAGGGAAATATAGCATGACAGCAAATGGACTTGCATTTTCACCACAGACGCACACACAGAAACCCCTAGAAACACAACCGTATATTATATATATATATATATATATATATATATATATATATATATATATATATATATCTACATATATATATATATCAACCAGGCAGACAGCAGATTAGTGCCAGGCAGGTACCTTTTAAACATGCCCATTTGAATCAGTGTGGTCATCACTGATCCGTCCGTCTCGCCGAAGAACATTCCTGCCTGTCAGAACAGATGATAAAGCTCTCAGTACAGCTTAACAAATTCCTGTGATGATAAACTGACATATTTAATTACAATTAAAATGCTGCAGTAATGTCATTTAATGCAAACACTTTAAATAATCTTAAACTTTGAATTGTGGGGATGATAAAAGAGATTTTAAATCTTTTTTTCTTCTTTTGTATGATGAAATAGATAAAAATCCAGATTACAATTCTGGTATCTGTTTTTAAAATTTGTTTTCATGATCAAATTTGTTCTGTAACAACAACCAAATGGAAACTGGGGTCCCTTTTACTTTACCTATGCGAAAAACATCTTGATTTAAACATGCAAATATGCAAAAGGTAAAGTTAATCCATAGATTAACATAGATAAAATTTTAGTTCCTCTAAATCTAAGGCAGATGTATATGCAGAAAATAACAGGATGAAAATGAACAACAAGTTTTTGTTTGACAGTTTTATATCAGACAGTTATAATTTTTTTCAAATTGTGTTTCATTTCAACCATCAACTTCAATGTATTTTATTAGAACCTTCTCTGATATGTTGGAGTGTAGGGACGGTGCATCCAGTCCTCACGGTAGTGGCAACTGGTTTAGCAGGCGTGATATTTTGGTCACCTGCATGCCGATGAGGATTAAGGTGATGGTGGGAAGGAATCAACTCTAAATCTGCGCTATAGGTTTTCAGGAGCTGAAATCTAAGTCCACCCCCCTTTCAGGACCCAGTCCTCTGTAGTGTGGACCCCCCAACAGCTCCCTATTACAAGGGCATGGCCCAGCATCAGGTTAATTTGCAGGCCAACAACGACCTTAACGACCCCCCATTTCAAAGGGGTGGACCTGTTCAATTTGCATGTTTTCTAAGCCATAACAAGGCTTTTTATGGGCTACTCTATAAAAGCTTTAGTCCTCAAGAAGATGTTTGTCCTTTAATGCTTACCAACATACCTCTCAGACCTTTAAAGAACTTCAGTATACATCACACTCTTATAAACTATTTACTAATTAAATGGCTAATATCCATTCAAAGGGGGGTAAATAAAAAGGCATGTTACTTTGAGATTGTTGCTAGTTAATTATAGCCTGATAAACCAGACTAAATGTGAGACTAAATGTGTAATTTAGTCTGGCGTCGATGAATGAGACATCAGAAGATTGTTGATGAGAACAACCCGTTGTTTTTCAAACCATGTCTGTGCCTATTGGCCAACACTCTGACCAATGAGTGCAACTCACTATGACGTAGTAAGTGTGACAGAAAGCTGGTGGGGGAGTGTAAACAAACAGCCTGTCAGTAAAATGACAAATACTTCCTTCTTAAAAATGAATGAGCAGAACACATCTCTGCGTTGTGATTGGCCAGCCAGTTCTAGGGCCTGGGGCATTGATCGAGGCTAGAGCAAACTCACAGGCAAAAATGATTTTGGCCGCTGGCGGGCGGGGCTAATTTACTAGGCTAGCTAATTCAGAAATTTTTAGATAATTTTTCTCCTCACATAATTAAACAAAACAGTTTTTGCAACAACAACAAAAAAAACATATGTAAGATACAAAGGATTATTAGGTTTTAATGTTACAAAATATGCAAAACTGGCATAAAAACATTTACGTAAGGAGTCTACTAGAGGTCTCAAGAAAAAAAGGAAAACTACTGAGATACTTGGCCTTTCTAAAACAGATACACCTAAGCTTTCATGCTCTTAAGATATTGTCTTCTCTCATCAAAGAGAAAACAGATTGGAAAGCTTTCACACCTTCAAAGTAAGATTTAAAAGGCCTTTAATGTGTTGACTTACATCACTCCGTTGTTTAGAAATTAGGACAAAGCCATTATTGTCAATAACGTAGCACTCAATGTCCTAATAAGAGACAGAAAAACAAAGGACTTATAACAAATGTAATTAAAGTGATCAGCAAAAGATTAAAAATGCTTAGATTTGTTCTCTAGTGGCTCCATACTCTACAGATGCATAATAATATTCAAATATTATGCAAGTCATATAAGTAGAAGACAGAAAGCAATATATACTCACAAAACTGTCACAGCGAAGAGGACAAACCCCTTCCACAGTGGAGCACTGAAGAAAAGAGACAAAATCTACTGTAATTAGAGAGCAATTTCAGAAAACCTCAATGAGCCAATTAGAAATATTATCTCTATGTATATGTGAGAAAAGAGTGTGTCTGTGTTCACAAGGAAACATTTTAAACACATGCTTCTGTCTGTGGTTTTCTGTGGAGGTGTTAGGCTGGAACGGGTGTCTTAATATGTGTGAAAAAAAACAGTGTCTGCTTTGGTGAGAAATTGTTAATTTGTGCAAGATGTGACAGGAATGTCTACCTGAGACTGAGACTGGTGAGCATCTCGTTTGAGAGTTTATTTTATGTTTGTGTCTCTGCGACTGTGTGTACGTCTGCCGTCTGTTTAATTAATGTTGTGAAGCACAAGTTCACAGAGCTCAGCGGGGAAGTGTGGATGATATTTTCTGGTTCCATAAGCAAAAGGAGGCTGCCTCTGTGGAAAATGATGAGCATACTTACATCTGTGTCATTTGGCTGAAGAGAAGCAGAGGAGAAATGAGAGCAGAGCATTACAAAAAGAGTAGCATTGGATCAGGCAATAAACACTTTTGATGCTCCTGTTTACTGTTCAAACATATGCTCTGATTGCATAACAGAAATGAACTGTATAAGATGCATAACCTTTAATTTGCTGTTTAAAAACCAACAAGTGTGTTGTTCATTTTATGCATTTAGCACACGCTTTCGTCCAAAGCAACTTACGCAGTAGACACAATGACAATGTTTTGTCATATGGATGATAACTTTAACATTATGATTTTTTAAATGATCTTAACATATTTTGAGATATATCAAGGAAGTTAATAAATGTTTAGATTGCAAAAAGGTTAAAGGGATCTATACAGCAAAAATAACAAATAAAACTTTTGCTTGAAGAGGTTAGTTTGTTTTAGTCATCAAGTCATTACTCACCTGCAAATGTAAAAAAAAAGGACTAAATGGTGAAATCTTTTGTCTGTGGTTCAATGTGTGGGTTGGTGTCTATGGACAGCATGTGTTTGGAATCATGGTGAGGTGAAACAGAGCATGTCGAACTGTGAATGAAACAATTTATCATCCTTTTCAGTCCTATTACAGCCAAGTGTTGGTCTTTCTCTTGGTTTCCCATCACTGGTGCCTGGTATGAAGAACAATTCAGGGGACTTAGAGGAATGACAAGGTGTCCCCTGTAGCATACACCAAGTAGTGAGGCTTGATGCGAGAGGCTAGATTAAAAGGACAATGACCATCTCATCCTTTTAATCAAAAAGGAATTCGGTTACGGTTGTATTTGTACATATACCTATTGACTGTTATTTAACATGCCAAATGTCAGGGACATATTTAAAGTTGAATTTTATAGTGACTACAAAATTCTCCTAGTCTCCATTCTGAACCATGCCCATGTTCAGGAAATATGGTTAATAAATACCCATAAGCACTTATAAGCTTTGAGGGCCTACCAGTGAGCCGAGGCCTCGCTTATAAAAAAGTTTAATATTTACTTTTTTTTTTTATCTACTGTAGATTAATTGCATGTATAATATAATCTGAATTTTAAAAAACTTTTTAAAACCCAGAAGTACTCTGTTTTGGTCAAATTACATCTAACAGCCGTAAGACAGACTTTCTCACTCCAGCCCTTTAGGGGGCAGTAATACACCACAGAGGATATATAACTAGCACAACGTTAAAAGCATGCAAGTAAAGGCTGGATCACACCACTCGTGTTTGACTCTGCAAAATCCAATTTGATTTTTCTCCTGTCACACCGACAGCAATTCATACAGAGAGGCTCCTACTACACATAGGGTTAGCAGATCTTGATCTGTGCAGGACTCTGCTGCATTTTCACCCCTTCAAAGTTTAAATAATGTCCCAGAAATTGAAACAATGTTCTAATTTGACTGGATCAACTTATGAACAATCAAACAAAAATATATAAGGTGTATTCAAGCTTTCAAAGTCAGCACTTTCATAATGACACAATGAAACCCTGGAATGAAACAATGACATACTTGTGATAAGTAGGGCTGGGTAAACAAATCAATTTAATCGATTTTGAATTGATTCCTTTACATTTTTGCAAAATCGATGTCTAGGAAATTAGATCGATTCGTTTTATAGTGACGCGCGTGACGTTCACATTCAGATGAGCAGGAAAGATGCTCTCAAGATGACTTCAAGCCAGACAGCTGCAAATATAGCCACTAGTTTGACTGAAGACATTAACAAATGGAGGCTGACCAGCAAATACCCAGTAGTTGTTGCAGACAACGCTGCAAATAAGGTTTGTGCAGTGGAGATAATGCAGCTCATGCATGTCTGCTTTGTTCCCGCTGTGTCACATCTGCTTGCTCGAGTGAGGCTTCACTTTTTCACCTCTCACAAACAAGTTTGCACTTTTGAGACAGTTTTGTTCCCGTCTCAAGTTTAAACTGTCTGATTTACAAGTTTGTACTTTGTGTTTAATATGACAGGAAAAAAATTATTACATGAGTATTTTGAAACACAGTTGAACCACTTTCATTATTGTAATAACAGATCGAATAAAATTTAATCGATTTAGAACTGAATGAATCAAAATGGAATCGATTCAGGACTTAATACCCAGCCCTAGTGATGAGTGCAAGTAAAAATAAATCAGACATATGACATCAGCAAGACAAAAATATATATAATTTCTCCCCTATAAAGAGGTATCAACAATTTGCATTATGATCTGATAACTATGGAGTTAATCTTGATTTATTTTGGTGTATATATTGAGGCAGATATGTTTTTAAACCCTTTGGGTTTAAAATGTTAAGTCTTCATTGCCAGCTAGATTAAGATTTAAACTCCCAGATGTAGTCAGATTAGTCAGTATATTGTTTTTGGAAAAAAAAAAGGTATTTTATCATTACTGCAGTAGGAAAGAATATTCAGCATAATGTGTTTAAGTTTGCAATTAACAAGACGTGTTTAGTTTCACAATATTTGTTTAGTTGAGTAGTCTTAATGATAAAGGTACTCAGTCTTTCCCAGCCGCAAATGTGAATTTATGTTTGAGAATTGGTGATTGAAAATGTCTTATAGCTTGGTTTATAAATGACAATAACCTGACAAATCTAATCCATGTATTTCAGCTGAAGGCCTGTTTTTGTTTAGTATCAGAGAACCAAGGTTGAGAAGCTCAGATAGTGATAAGCAGAAAGAAATGTCCTCCTTTCAAGTATGCCTCTAAAAAAGCCAGATTTATAAAAAGCCAGAACTATTAAAAGAGTGGATTTCTCTGTCTAGTTAGAACAGATTAACATCTTTCCCAGTCTGTATTTTTCCCCTTAAAGGAACTAATCAGGCCATCAACAATTTTGTCACCTGCCAAACTTATTGCTCATTGTATGTTTTACTAATATAGTGAAACCCTAATCGGTTTCTTTGAATAATATATTTCTTAGTATTGATAATTTTCAAAATATCTTTTATTTTGATAGCATTTTGCAGATGTTATTGCATCCAAGGCTGGTGACTAAGGAAGGCTGAGAAAAAACACATTTATTTACATTCAAAAACCATTTGTAATTTCCTTTTCACTTTACAATGATTTACTAATTTGTACTGATTTATAAAAAATAAAAAAAATCCGAATAGTTTCAGTTTTTCTTTTGATAGAAATGAGAATATAGGGGATTTGAATATTTTTTTTATAGACAATCTGGACACATCCTGGTTTTCTGTTTCTGTCTGATGATTATGTTCAAATTGGGACTGACCGTATGTAATGTTATCATGATGGAGCAAATTAAAACCTCAAATAAACTACTGTGAGCTTCTCTGGCAGGCTTATTCATTGACACACATGAACACTGGTCAAACTAGCACATGCAGTGCTTATGAAAGTACATGAAAGAAAGAGAAGATGATAACATAAGCCTGCTTAGTCAGAAATGACTGATGAAATCAGAAACAGGAGGAAATAGAGAAAAAGGCATGAGATGGGGAAGATGACAAGAAATTTCTATACCAGAAAAATTAAGTATAAAAAAAATGTACTACATTTTACGGATTGAGTGTCTGAAGATGGACATAATGTCCATATTGGCACAGATGGCAGAGCATATGGTCCCTGTTAATCTGACACATAACCCTAACAGACAAACACAAAAAGGCACCTTTTTCCACATCTCTAACACACACCAATGTGTGCATACAGAAACACACAAACCCAAAGTCAGCCACACGCAGAGCCACGCTGCAGTGGCCATCAATCACCTAATGGCTAGCCAGAAGCTTTAAATGGCATTTTAACTGCTGTCATTTACAGCCATGGGTGCAGAGGAGGAGAGGGACCAAATCATCAAACACCTGCTACTGCAAAAAGAGCTATGGTAAATTAAGCAAGTTCTCCCGAAGGTGTGAAAGGTTACTCACATCTTTCTCTTAGGGCTATTTCTGCATCTCTCTGCACAACATGATTATCCCCAAATAGCTTTAATGATGAAATTAAAGTTTCACATATGGTCTTAAAGGCACTTCTTTAATGGGGAGAGCAGTGAAATGAGATGGTGCATTAGGCCGAACTAAGTGTAAATGCTTTAATTATCAAATAACAAGGAATAAATAATGCTTTTAATACTCAGTAAAAACTGATTTGATTTTTTTAAGATACAGAATTATAACAGTTTATTTGTATATAACTATATAAATTGCTTAAAACTGCACTAAAATATCACCTTCTAGATCTGAATGAATTAAATATTCTCATTGAATGCTTTGTTCTGCACATAGTTGAATGTGCTTACAATAAATCATCAATGCAAATCAAATTATTAACCATTGGAGCCCCTTTTTGCAGTTGCATGTCCTTATGTCCATAAAACTGCTTAAAAATGAGGCACGGTATTGTGTGAGACCTCCATTTGCCTGTATGACCTCCCATGATGTCTGGGCATGCTCCTGATGAGGTGGTACATGGTCTCCTGATGAGTCTCTCCCCAGACCTGGACTAAAGCATTCGCAAAGTCCTGGACAGTCTGTGGTGCAATGTGTGACGGTGGATGGAGCGAAAAATTCTGTCCCAGATGTGCTTAATTGGATTCAGGTCTGGGGAACAGTCTGGCCAGTTCATAGCTTCAATGCCTCCACCTTTTAGGAACTACTGACACACTCCAGCCACATTAGGTCTAGCATTGTCTTGCATTAGGAAGAACCCAGGGCAAACCTCATCAGCATATGGTCTCACAATGGGTCTGAGGATCTCATCTCATTACCTGATGGCAGTCATGCTACCTCTGGCGAGCACATGAAGGGCTGTGCGGCCCTCCAAAGGAAAGCCCGCCCTACACCATTACTGCCAAACCGGTCATGCTTAAGGATGTTGGAGGCAGTAGATCGCTCTAAATGGTGTCTCCAGACTCTGTCACATCTGTCACATTTTCTCAGTGGGAACCTGCTTTCATCTGTGAAGAGCACAGAGTGCCAGTGGCAAATTTGGCAATCCTGGTGTTCTCTGGCAAATGCCAGCATGTTGGTGTGTGAGCACAACCCACATCTATGGACATTGGGCCTTTCTACCATCCTCATGGAGTGAGTTTCTAACCGTTTGTGCAGACACATGCACAATTACGGCCTGCTGGAGGTCATTTTGCTGGGATCTGGCAGTGCTCCTCCTGTTCCTCCTTGCACAAAGGTGGAGATAGCGGTCCTGCTGCTGGGTTGTTGATCTCCTAAGGCCTCCTCCACATCTCCTGGTGTACTGGCCTGACTCCTGGTAGCACCTCTGAACATTACGTTGACAGACACAGCAAACCTTCTTGCCTCAGCTCGCATTGATGCACCATCCCGGATGAGCTGCACTACCTGAGCAGCTTGTGTGGGTTGTAGAGTCCATCCCGTGCTACCACAAGTGTGAAAGCATCACCAACATTCAAATGTGATCAAAACAAAACGCAAGAAGCATAGGAACTGAGAAAAGGTCTGTGGTCCCCACCTGCAGAACCACTCTCATCAAGTGTGTCTTTGTAATTGCCTGTTGTCTATTCCATTTACACCAAAGCATGTGAAGTTGATTTTCAATAAGACAGAAGTTTAATGTAATTGAAGTTATACTGTGTTGTTTACATGTTCCCTTTTTTAGTAGTGCAAGTATATAACTGTTTATTGCTAATTTACCTCAAAACTTTTCACCCTCACTGTATATGTGCACAGAAAAATTAACATGGTCAAGTTAGAACAGCTTAAAAAGTCTGAAAAAAATATACAGTGACTGTGTCCAAACGCTCGCCCTAACCCCTTAATTACTATATACAACAAGGACTGTATATAGTGGAGTTTATAGTGAACTTAAAGTGACCATTCGGACAGATGATCACTGTTTTTCACTCCCTGTCGGCTCCTGCCATGATGCTGTCGCCATCTTTCACCCCCAAATCAAATCCAATGATATTTTGTGAGGAGAGCCCTTTCAAAGCATTCTGGGATATATCTGCTCTTCTAGTGAACATAGATGAGCACTAATTTTCATTGTGGGACATTTTGAGTCCACCATTTTTTTATCCACTAGACGTTCGGACACTCATTAAAATAGCCTAGCTGCTATATAGTGCTCTATATAGGGGTTAGGGCGGATGTTCAGACACATCCAGTGTGCACTTGGTCAGTAAGTCTTACCTGTGCAGCAATGGCTCTAAATTTGGATTCAAGCACCTCCAAAGTCATCTGAATCCCAATAGCTGTTGAGAAACAAAAATAGACATAAGAAAGGAACATTAGTTAGATCTTTCTTTAAGCAATTGCATGAATAAGTACTTGCTAACCACATGCAGTAAGGAGTACCCTGTAGATAAGAAACACAAATTGAAGTTTTTAATCAGGATTTTCAAAAGCGACTAATAGCATCATTAATGCCTCAGAATAGGCCACATCTCTTCCTCGCTTTCAGAGCGGATGAGCAGAAGAGGTCTTTTAGAGCAGATCAGCTCTGAAGTCAGAACTCAACTTATGAAAATCCTTTCACACTCATTGGCCTTCAGAGCCTCCGCAGCGCTGCTAAAAAGTTCCTATTCTTAGAGTGTGTTTGAGGGCATGTGTGTTTATAACGCCTCCACAGCGAAGCCATCTCAGTCATAAAATGCTGAGAATTAGTGTCCGTTTGAACATGTCCCACACACGCGCAGAAATATGCACACAGGGGCATAGTGATTGCTTATGTCAGCTTAGGGCTGCATGTCTGTCAGCATTTCGGGCAGTTTGGTAATGGGGAAAAAAAGCAAGCCGTAATTGCATAAGTTCCCTGTGCACACATACAGTATGTACCACCCACACACATACACAGCAAATACACATTTACTTTGAGTGGAAAGATATGACTCTTCGTATTAGCATCAGAGACTCAGCGTTTTCCTCCCCGCGTGGTTTGGGTAGCCACTTAAAAGCCTCTCTGGTGATTACAACACACAAAACACATATGCCAGCACACATCTACCTTTGCATACAGATATATACAGTAGGAAACTTACTGTACAGATCCCAGAAGTTTAGTAACCCTGATTCATCACAATAAGGTCATAAAGATAGTTGAACAATATGCAATATCCCTTCCTAATTCAGCCTGAAATATTCAGTACCTTGAGAACGAGCATTACGGGGCCTTTATAGTTTCTTATGGATGTTTGTTACTACTTTAGCACAATTTCACCACACGGCCTTGTGAAAATATCCATGCCCACTGTTACAATCACCAACTTCAATGTCACTAGTAGCTTTACATTTTTAGGGACTCATAATTGCCAGTTTTTGTGTCTAAATATAGATTCAGATCTGTATTCAGAGTCAGCCATTAAAACAAATTCCCTTCTATTGTTGTTCCAACACTTATTAATCTAGAATCTTTTTGCATTTAGATCTAATTATGATCTCATTAACTCAGATGAGCTTCCCTGCAACAGTTTCACAATGGGGATTGTTCGTTACTCTTATAGTTGATGTCACTCTTCCATAAAGGCCTGATTTGTAATGCGAATGGGTTATAGATGATAGCTGTTGACATATGCAGCTTCTCCAGAGTTACCAAGGACATCTTAAACTGCTCGTCTGATTAATCTCTTCCCAACCCTGTATGTCAGTTCAGGTTGTATACAATGTTAGGTCAGTTGCTGTTCCAAACTTTTTTTTTTCAGACAGTATTTTAAAACGTTTTCACGTCATGCTGGCTTATATGTTGATTGGTCTTTATGAGTTTTTTTGTGTTCATCTTCTCTAAAAGTCTCCTGAGCTCTTAGCAGAACAAGCATAACTTCCAACCAAGTTAACTACTTGCTGATTAGAGTGTAATTCTATTGAGGAGTGAAGGGAACATTAATACCCACCAAAACTTTTCAGAAAACCATGTATCATCTCCCCAATAGTTGGTTATACAAAACTATGTGTAGCTCAGTCACATAGAAACTTTTATGTTGCAAAAACCCTGGCAACCCAGGGTACAGACTAGGAAACAAGGTCCTAGTTTAACACACTTCTCTGCAGCTTCCCTACTGTTACTCACTCATTACTCCACTCAGGCAGTGTCTTGCCCACGACCAAAATCTAATAAATTATAAAAGAATCCCAAAGGAGTAAATCATGATAATCCAATTAAAAATAACTCCAATTGAGGAAAAAGTTAAAACGATTAAATGTTCGAGTCAATGAGTTGATGCAATCAACTGGTTTTCCATAGATAGAAAACTATGAATCAATTTGACTGTATGATCTAGTGAACTGTAAAGTGCATTGAGATGATGTGTTGTGAATTGGCGCTATAGAAATAAACTGAACTGAAAAACATTACTGAAACTAAAGGAGTAAAAATATTCTTCTAAGTTCTGTTACCTAAAGTTGAGTGATAATTTCTACCACGTTTTTATCTAATACTAGTTACTTAGGAAATAACTCTTCTTTGTACACAGTTTCTGTACTAAATTATTCAACAAAGAAATGGAAGCTTTGTTTTTCTTCTGTTACCACCTCCTACAGATCAGAGTAAAACATATATTTAAAATATGGTTATATGTCAAAGACACTTCAGTTCCAACAAAAAAAAAACTTACCAGATTTATCCTTGATTTTACAAACCGGAGATAAATACATGAAAGTAAATGTTAACGTAATCATCAGAAGCTAAATGTTTAAAGAAGAATCTTAACTTAAGTGGTCCTGAATAAAAAACATTTTAGAATATTAGTGCAATTTTTTTTTCTTGATATAAAATGCGTCACACACAAACTTTCCAAAATAAAATGATTTAAAAAACAAACATATAAGAAAAGCATATGTCTTTTTTTTTATTTTGTGTTCATTTAATATCCTCCCCAAGCATTAGGAAACCTTAAAAACCAAACTTTTTCAGGTATTATTTCTATTTCCTTTTTGCCATCACACATTTAAAATCAAAGAGGTAGAAGGCAATTTTAGCTCAACAACTGAACATCACTTAACTCGTACAAAAAAAAAAAGATGCCATCAAGTTTCAGATCAGTTATAATAAAACCACAAGCAGATCTAATTATTTTCCGACAGCATATTCTTTTATTAGATGCATACGTTGGCTCCCCTATTCCTAACGTCTCCCCTCTGTGTCCCACTTGTTTTCCAGTCTTCCTAAATCAGAGTCGTGGCTGTAAACAGTCTATAATCAGTCACAGACATAAAAAGGTATTTGCCTGATTGGAGGGTTGTTTATCTGTTCCCTCTTTTTCCTGGAGGGGAACCTTTCAACATTCAAAATATCCAACACCTAGGAATCAAAATGTAAAAAAAATATATTAAAAGCAAATCCTTTATATTTGATCTGCTATTTTGAACCAGTGCAACAAAAACTGTTAATATTTTCTGCTTTTCCCATAAAAACATGTTTTTCAATTTGTTCAGAAGCCCATAAAAAGGCAGTAATCTCTCCTTCTCCCCTTTTTAAGGGACTGATAGCTCAAATCTAATTAAAGCCAACTCTAAGAACCTTGCATTAATGTGTGCGCAGTGTTCAAAGCTTTTTTCCTAATAAATATATAATTGGTGTAGCTGCACACGTTATCGAATTAGTACACAAAGGCCTTGGACGTATGAGAGAAAATGTGTGTTTTTAAGCACATTTTGTATACCCTGTGTCTGAGGCATAATTAGCCTGAGCTGCCAATCTAAGCTGGGAATGTTTTCAATAGAAAATGTACAAATAAAAAGGCAAGCACTGGAGGTAATTAGTTGTTTTACTATTGAGATTGCAACATGACAAATACATCTACATTTTATAAAATGTTCTCAAGCAAGTCTAGAGGCAGAAAAATCTATGTATGATTCTATCTATACAGAAGAGGATTAGGGCCACTGGAAAACTAAAAAAGTTAACTGATTTTTAAATATTTTTTTGGTTTAATATGGGGGGAAAAAATCAGTAAACTTTTTTTTATTTTTTCAGTGGCCCTAATCCTCTTCCATATATCTTGGATATTTGCAACATAAATAAAAAAAAAGAAAAGAAAAAAAGATGGGAATAATTACAGGGCTACAATGACAAATTTCCAGGGACTCAGTACAAGTATGCAAGAGAAATCAAGGTAAAACTCATGAAATCTGATTTAGTTAGTTAAACTCAGATTTTTTGAGCTCTTAACAAATCCGTTTGCACAGCAGGGAATTATCAAGAACATCATTAAGCATGTCTTATGTCTTATCAACAGAGTAGAGATGAAAAAGATGGATGATGTAAATAATCTTTTTATATTGATTAAAAAAGACTATAATTACAGAAGAGTTAAATCATAATCATAAGAAACAAAACATATTTTCAGAGCCAAATAAAAAAGTTAATAAAAGATGAGAAACTGTCCAAATTGGATGGGATGTTATAAAAATGCCCCTTTACATCCATGTTGATGATCCATGAGGACAAGCCTCGGTTTTTCTTGATGCAGTAAATTGTTTTTATAGATTTAGTAATGTATACAAAAATATAATTTGTTCATATTGCCAGAAATTAGGATTACTATTTTAAAAATTATTAACATTGTTTAATCCAACTCTGATATTCAATCCTTACATTGATTGTTTAGCATTCATTCACTGTCCAAAATCAGGGGATCCATGTCGCATTAAAGCCAGAGAACTCTAATGCTTGTGTGTGTATTCTGCTGAGGTTGCTCAGAAGGTCAATTTGTGTAGAGCAAGCAGTGGAAAGAGCTGTTGTCGCATTGCCCTGGAATACAGATTAAATGCATTGAAACACACAATAGGAGTCAATAAATTAAAGTCACACAAAGGTGAAGCCAATAAACAGAGGTGAGAAAGTAAAGACAACAACATGGAGGTCACTGAAACATGTTGTGCTAAAGTTTTCATACCACTTATTTTTGCACATTTTCTCCCTTTGCAGAAACAAGCCTAAAGGGATTTTATTTGGTATCACACAGTTCTGGAATGAAAGGAAAATTATATATAAATGCATATAAATACAATCCGTAAAATGTGCTGAAGATTTGCATTTAAACTCTTTTCAAACAAGTCCCTAATAAACAAGATCTAAGTAAATATTCCAACCTATTTAAATCTACAGCTCAAGTGAAGGAGTTTGTGGCTTTTTTCCCCTCACACTCCACAAGTCAAATATTTATGGAAGACAGGCAAGAAAAAAAGCTTCTTTTTAGCAAAGCCATAGGAATCATTATTGGACAGAAAACATGAGGGCCACAAAGTAAACATGAAA